TGTGTTTTTTGGCCATCATCAGCTTAACCGTTGCCTTTTTGGCCAGAAAGTTGCCTGATGCTTTTAACGACACCAAGCGGATCGCCTTAAGCATGGGGATGCATTTCAGCATTTTGGCAAGTTTTGTTTCAGCCTGTTTGAGTGCAGAGAGAAAATATGTGGCACCAGTGGCAGCCTTTTCTATCTTAATATATAATTCTGGAATACTGGGTTTTATATTTCTTCCCAAATTGTATATAATTGTATTGAGACCTGAGCTGAACACAAAAGCACAGCTAGTAAGGAAAAGGAAATATGTCACTTAATTTTTTAAAGAAAGGTTTTCTATGCTTACCATATATACTAGGTACGGGCACACTTTGGTTCTCCAAGTGTTTGGGACTTCAACTCCCACACCTGGAGGTCCGGAGTGTGCCCATGCCTGGTTTCATTATTGGGCATTACAGCAGCACAAATGGACTGGATGACCCACGAGGTCTCTTCCACCTCAATGATTCTATGATTCTAAATCTTGCCTCAAATTTGTTCTAAGGTAGTGTTTTCCTCAACCTTCCTAATGCCGCGACCCCTTAATACAGTTTCTCATGTTATGGTGACCCCCAAGCATAACATTATTTTCATTGCTACTTCATAACTGTAATTTTGCTACTGTTATGAATCATAATGTAAATCTCTGATATGCAGGATGTATTTTCATTCACTGGACCAAATTTGGTACAAATACCCGATATATCCAAATTTGAATACTGGTGGGGTTGGGAGGGATTGATTTTGTCATTTGGGTATTGTAGTTGCTGGGATTTATAGTTAAGCTACAATCAAAGAGCATTCTGAACTCCACCAATGATGGAATTGAACCAAACTTGGCACACAGAATTCCCATGACTAACAAAAAATACTGGAAGGGTTTGGTGGGCATTGACCTTGAGTTTTGGAGTTGTGACTCACCTACATCTAGAGAGCACTGTGGACTCAAACAATGATGGATCTGGATCAAACTTGGCACGAATACTCAATATGCCCAAATGCGAACACTGGTGATGTTTGGGGAAAATAGACCTTGACATTTGGGAGTTGTAGTTGCTGGGATTTATAGTTCACCTGCAATCAAAGAGCATTCCAAACCTCACCAACAATAGAATTGGGCCAAACTTCCCACACAGAACCCCATGCCTTGAAGGCACTTGCTGACATGAACCTCCCTCCAACCTCACATGCTCTCCTTCACCTTCACATGCACAGCATGCTGCCATGTGCTGAGCATGCCTGCTCTCCCCTCCCTGTTTGGAGTCTCAGAAACAGCCTTCCCTTTGGCTGAGAGGTCAGCCAATCACAGTGGAGGAAGGCTTTTGGTGGGAGGATTCACAGTCTGTTTCCAAAATGGAAGAGAAGGATAGGCGGAGAGATCTTCAGCTTCTCTGCCAAAGGGGTTCCTAAGACCATCAGAAATATATGTTTTCTGATGGTCTTTGGCGACCCCTCTGAAACCCCCTCGCGACTCCCCTAGGGGCCTTGACCCCCAGGTTGAGAAATGCTGTTCTAATGTCTATGGGGATTTTTTAAAAATTATATCTACATGTTAGAAAAATGCTTTCTACACCTCTGACAAATACCAGGTATTGTATGTGTTGCCAGAGGAACCTGCAAATACAGTTGGGAAAGGTCTTGACCACAGACATGTAAACAGAAGAAGCTATCACAAATGCACAAAGAAAAACAATGAACAATGTTACAGAATATCTTATCCATTAATACACCTGAACATTAGGAAAAGCTTTCTGATGATAAGAACTGTTTGACAGTGGAACACATTGCTTTGGAGTCTCTTTGTTTGGAGATTTTAAAATAGGGGCTGGATATCTATCTGTCAGGAATGCTTTGATTGTGTATTTCTGAATGGCAGAATAGGGGTTGCACTGGATGGTCCTTAAAGTCTCTTATAATTGTTATGATTTTAGGTGTTCAATCTGTATGTCAGTAACTTTACCAACCATTGTACAGTTCATTAAATGCCTATTATGGGTGTAATTGTGTCTCATAAGCTTGGTATGTCATAGTTTGGAACTTTAGCAGCAGTTGGTGATCATCCAACTTAAGAGAAAAGTTGATTTCTGTCCCTATCATTCTGAGGCTGTACACGCTATGGACGTCTGTTTACATTGCACAGACCAAGGTTTGGCACCTTCAAGAGACTATACATGGCTCTCTTTCCCACAGAGGACTGTATTTCAAAACACTCTATTAAGTGATGAATTATGGGCCAGGAATTCTTTATAAATCCCTGTAAAATGTTTACAATGAGATTGAAAGTAAAGTTATATTTAAAATGCTCAGACTGGATCTATTTTGTTAAAAGGAATTCGTTATTTATCACTTGTAAAATCTTTCATCTTGTTTCAACAACTCTTTCCATTGAACCCAGATGCATATATGTGTCCTTGAAAATAATCAACTGATTCTACCATGTGTGCATGATTTTAGTCACATTTTTTCATTTTGCCAGGAAACGATATGGGAATACTTTGTTCAAAATTGGCTATAGTTTTAATTTCGGTTGAGCTATTATTCAGTATTTAGTATTCAGTATTTAGGGGACCAAGACTACCTCTTAACATTCTATACTGATTCTCAATGGTTGCAAGTAATCATTAATTTAGTCTTTTAAACATTTCCATGGATTTCGTTTCCTTGGTTTCCTTCTGTACCTTTGGTACTTTGGGAGCTCATAATGGTAAGGGCCCTCCTGGTACAAAAACCTGCTCAACACGAAAGCAAGTGGGAACCAATCTTGGCTCCTCCTCCCCTTTTCGGCATCACAGTTGAATCTTTTTGATTTTTCTGATTCTTTTTATTTAATGGGACTGACTGGGAGTTGGGGACATGAGGGATGGTGGGTGGGGTGCATGCATTTGCGTTTGGGGGCTTTCACACTTTTAGCTTCTTTTTCTCCTTCCCTTCCTCTCTTTCAGGAAATACTTCTAAAATATTATGATGAATAATAGTAATCCTAGCAAACAAAAAGAGAAGCCTACCTCTCTTCTAGAGTAGAAAGTAGAAACAGCTTTAAGGAAGCAAAACCCCAAGCAGAAAGGAGATTGCAGTCTTGCAGGCAAGTGAGGGGATTTTTAAGGTAGTCCAGGGAGGATAGCTTGACTGAGCTCCAGGTCATTGCTCTTCCTATTTGGGCTTCCTTAAAATGCCTTGGAAAGCTGCTGGTGCTGGGAGAGAAGAAAGCTTACTCATCTGACTCTCTTCTAGTGTAGAAAAGCTTTAAGAAGCAGTATACACAGTTTTCGCCTCTACAAACAGAAGGGAAAGGATTCAGAAACTTAAGAGTAGTAACCCTGATGCTTTTTTAAAATCCAGGTCTTAACTCACTCCCCGGGGAGATTAGATCAGCGACCTCCCTTCTGACATTCAGGAAAAAACTGAAGACCTGGGTTTGGGACCAAGCCTTTGGACACACTGGCAGCTAAATTAAGGATCTGACGACAGACAAGGACAAATGGAATGGAATGGATATATGGACTCTGAACCCGAGCATGAGATTCTTTTAATATTTTATTATGTACCGATGTTTAATTTTTAACTGCTGAATTGCTTTGTATTTTATATTACTGTCAATTGATTTAGGCATTTAATTGTGCCTCCTTTGTAAGCCGCCCTGAGTCCCCCCCGGGGTGAGAAGGGCGGGGTATAAGTAATTGAAATAAAATAAATAAAATAATAATGAAGGATATGGAAGAGAAGCCCGTGGGAAGTCCCCCCCCCCCCCCCCCCCCCCCCAATAATGGGCTGGAAATGGTGCTTTCTTAACCCCATTGATGACACCCAGGCTCCATTGAAGGGAAGAAAGGAAAGGCTCCCGGGGAAAGGGGAGCCTCGTAAGATCCCCATTGCCACCAATGGACTAAAAAGAGCCATTTTTTTTGGATGCTGAATGAAAATGCCCATTCAGCAATGCACTTGTTTTTGGGAAACACTGGAAAACGGATATTAGGGGCTTCCAGTATCTGGCAAGCAGGAACAGATAAGGATTTACCCAAAATGCACAAGCCTAATGTCCATTATGTTGCACCTTCTTCACCGATATATACCGTATATACTCGAGTATAAGCTGACCCGAATATAAGCTGAGGCACCTAATTTTACCACAAAAAAAAATGGGAAAACATATTGACTCGAGTATAAACCGAGGGTGAGACATGCAGCCACTACAGGTAAATTTCGAAATAAAAATAGATACCAATAAAATTACATTAATTGAGGCACCAGGAGGTGGAATGTTTTTTTTAATATTTACATAAAACTGTAATTTGAGATAAGACTGCCCAACTCTGATTAAATCATTACATATCTTCAATGTAAATGTACTTACGTATCCTTCCAAAAATAATAGAGTAAAATAATAAATAAATATAATAATAATAATAAAGTAAAATAATGGAAATGCAATAATAACAGTAATAATAGAGTAGAATAATAAATGTAATAATGGAGTAAAATAATAAATGCAATAACAATAAAGTAAAATAATAAATGTAATAATAATAATAAATAGTATAAAATAATACATGTAATAATAATAATAATAATAATAATAATAATAATAAGGTAAAATACCGTAAATGTAATAATAATAGAGAGTAAAATAATACATGAAATAAAAATAATACCAATAACAGAGTAAAATAATAAATAACCTTGACTCGAGTATAAGCCGAGGGGAGCTTTTTCAGCCTAAAAAAAGGGGCTGAAAAACTAGGCTTATACTTGAGTATATAAAGTATCTCATCTTGTCATGCCTTTTCCCACCTATTATTGAGGAACCCCTTATATCAGCTATAACTAAATACGAGGAGTCCATGCATTTATTGTTCCTTGAGTATATACACTTTATTGATTTATTAATATATGGGTATACACAACTTTTTCCCCATAAGGAACACACATTCCAAACAAAAGATAAACAAGAAACAGAAGGGGAAGAAAGTAAGAAATCAATTATTCCTTTTGTGTACAAGGTGTTCCCTGGTATTTAACTCTGGCCTCAGTACAATTACAAATAATTTAGGGAGAAAAATGCAACCAAGCAATCCAGTACTAGAAGACAAGATGGAGAAGATCTCCACAACCACCATGGATTTTCCCTTGGTGCTCAGGTAAGTGGGCACGAAAGAGATCCAAACACTACAAAACACCAACATGCTGAATGTAATTAGCTTGGTTTCATTGAAAGTGTTGGGCAACTTCCTTGCAAAGAAAGCCACAGTGAAACTGATAACAGCCAGAAAGCCCATATAGCTAAGGACAATGTAAAACATAATGTCTGAGCCTTCATTGCACTGCACAACTATCTGATCATTGTAGGAGTGTGTGTCCAACTCTAGAAATGGGGGTGAGATTACCAACCATATGACACAGATGGCAACTTGAACAAAAGTCAAAGAAACGATGATTGAAGCTGTCAATCTCCTCCCGAACCATTTCTTCATCCTGTTTCCGGGCTTCGTGGCCATGAAGGCCAAGATGACTGTGATGGTTTTACCCAGCACTGAAGAAATCGCAATAGAGAAAACAATGGCAAAGAATATTTGCCGAAGAATGCAAGATACCTTGCCGGGATGGCCAATGAACAGAAAAGAGCACAAAAAGCAGAGCAGCAAAGAGGAAAGCAGTGTATAAGTAATGCTTCTGTTATTAGCTTTGATGATAGGAGTATTTCGATGACGAATGACACTCCACATCACAACAAGTGTGGTTAGAGAAAAAAAGAGAACAAAGGAAGTCAAGACAATTCCCAAGGGTTCTTCAAATGACAAATAGATTATTTCTTTAGAGATGCATTGATTTTGGTTCTCATTTGGATACTCATCCACTGGACATTTCTTGCAGTGTTCTGAATCTGAAAATAATAATGATATCTTTTAAAAATATGCACTATTTTTGCTAAAAGGACAGAGACTTCCAGTATTTACAGCATAAAGTGAGGAATTGCACGTATACAAAGATTTTTTTCATAAACATACACTTTTAAGTATGCTTTAGAAAATGTGATTGACAGCTATACTAATACGTTTGAAACTGTGGTGAGCTAATTAAAAGAAACTAGGTGCCAGGACACAATGATATGAGTAATGGAGTAATGTTGTTGAGTCTCAAGTAGAATGGGCCCATTGTTGTGCCCCATGAAGACTGTCACTGTTTACCTCTAGTTAAGCCTTTTTTAGTTAGAGGGGTCAATATTTTATGTACAGTTTTTTGGGGGTCAGTGTAGACAGTGTCTTTGGATTTGAAGCCTCTGTTGCCTTGCCCCATTAAGAGGATAGCCGGAGGGTCTACAAATAGAACGTCCAGTTGGAGTTAAATTTTGAGACAATCTTAGAGACAATTGAACACCATACAAGAAAGAGACTAGTAAAATTCAAGAGGAGAGAAATTCCTGTCAGTTAATACATTCATGTTTGATTCAACTATATAGTCTCTGATCTGTTCCCTGCGCAGCCAATTCACCTTCCAAGTAGTTAAGATAACTCGGGCAGAACGGAATCAATTTGTATTGTGAATCAATAAGTAGATAAGTTTAATTGATTTAATGGGTTTATTCGTATTTGGACTAAAAGTATGTGTGCTGTCGCGCGCTGGGCCTATAGCAATTGGCTTTTGAACAGGACGTGCTCTTTGTGCCCAGCAGGAAGCCGGGTGCCTCGGATGAGAGTCCCTATGGGTTTTCCTATACAAAGTCTTTAGAAGCTTAAAAGTCTAACAAAGTTCTTTATTATTGCTTAGGTCTTCAATAAACAATCTTAGATCTTCAACAAATCAAACAAATGCTTCTTAACTTGGTTCTTGTGGGTTTTTTCGGGCTATAGGGCCATGTTCTAGAGGCATTTCTCCTGACGTTTCGCCTGCATCAATGGCAAGCATCCTCAGAGGTAGTGAGGTCTGTTGGAACTAGGAAAAAGGGTTTATATATCTGTGGAATGACCAGGGTGGGGCAAAGGACTCTTGTCTGCTGGAGCTAGGTGTGAATGTTTCAACTGACCACTTCATTAGCATTTGAAGGCCTGGCTGAGCCTGGGAAAATCTTATGTTGAAAGGTGTTAAGATGTGCCTGGTTGTTTCCTCTCTGCTGTTTTGCTCTTGTAATTTTAGAGTTTTTTAATACTGGTAGCCAGATTTTGTTCATTTTCATGGTCTCTTCCTTTCTGTTGAAATTGTCCACATGCTTGTGGATTTCAATGGCTTCTCTGTGTAGTCTGACATGGTGGTTGTTGGTGTGGTCCAGCATTTCTGTGTTCTCAAATAATATGCTGTGTCCAGGCTGGTTCATCAGGTGCCCTGCTATGGCTGACTTCTCTGGTTGAAGTAGTCTGCAGTGCCTTTCATGTTCCTTGATTCGTGTTTGGGCGCTGTGTTTGGTGGTCCCTATGTAGACTTGTCCACAGCTGCATGGTATACGGTAGACTCCTGCAGAGGTGAGAGGATCCCTCTTGTCCTTTGCTGAACGTATCATTTGTTGGATTTTCTTGGTGGGTTTGTAGATTGTTTGTATGTTGTGTTTCCTCATCAGCTTCTTAACATGCTTCTCATCAGCTTTCCTCAACATGCTTCTTAACTTGTCTACAATGGACTTTTTGACCCTTCCCTGGGCAATCTGCTTTCTAGGCTTTGCTGGTGTGGGCCCTACTCCTGGCTCCAAATTGCTTCTTGGGTACCCGAGTAGACCTACCAGCCAAGGCTCTGAAGAATTTCCAGCTGGAGTCCTTTGGATTTTTCCCACGAAAGTTGTAGGTCCGTTTCTCCAACCCCAACAAGGGTTGTGCTGTAAAGCTGTTTCTCTTAAAAGCCTTTCTTTAGAGTCTGTTCTTAAAGCTGTGAGGTTGTAAATTCCCCAGCCAGACCTTTTGGGACTGTTTCCCCCCAGACTTCAAGTTTGCTACCTGTAGAGAAATGAAGCTTCTCTACAGGTAGCAAACTTTCACGTCCTGTAGCTGAGCTTCCAACTGTAAGGCTGAACTAAAATAGTTTCCATTCCCTCCTGAACCTGGAAAAAAAGGCGGAACTAAAACTTAACGATGATACACAGGTGGCTAGCCTAGCCATATGACTGCAGCCTAACAGGAACCATCCAACTGTAAAATGCTTGGCCAGAACAAGCACATGCAAACGCTCAAAGAACGAAAGGGAGTTTCGAGTTCCTGGTACAGCCTTAACAGCACAGTATGGTTTTAGTCACCATCTATTATTTGTTAGATATTCAGCATGCTCTATTTAAGGAAAGTGTAAAATCGAGCAAAAAATCTCATAATACTACTGAAGAATCCAGTTTCTCCTGCATGGTCTTCTAATGGGCAAGTGTGTGGCTATCAAGAGGACATGGAAAACATAGCTCTTTGTATGTTTTAATCTGTTATTATTCTATATGTTTATTTGCTGATTGTTTTAATTATTTTTAGTTTATGGCATAGGTTTTATGACTATGTTTAAGTGGCCAGAATCTTGCGTTGAGTCCCCCTACAGGGTGTGAGAAAGGCGGGGTATAAATGAAGCAAATAAATAAATAAATAGCTCCTAAACTATGCTTTCAGATCCAGTCTTTCTCCAATTCCTTTTTGCTATCAATATAGGAATGAAAGGAGCCCCTGGTGGCGCAGTGAGCTGCTGAGGTTGTTGACCGAAAGGTTGCAGGTTCGATTCCGGGGAGCGGCGTGAGCTTCCACTGTCAGCTCTAGCTTCTGCCAACCTAGCAGTTCAAAAACATGCAAACGTGAGTAGATCAATAGGTACCACTCCGGCGGGAAGGTAACGGCGCTCCATGCAGTCATGCCAGCCACATGACCTTGGAGGTGTTTATGGACAATGCTGGCTCTTCGGCTTAGAAATGGAGATGAGCACCACACCCTAGAGTCAGACATGACTGGACTTAATGTCATGGGGGGGGGGGGGGGGGGGGGGGGGGGGGGCTTGAGGGGCTTCAGCCCCCCCCCCCGAAATTCTCATGGTGGTTCGTGAAAAGGCCTTTGTTGTTGTTGTTCATTCGTTCAGTCGTCTCCGACTCTTCGTGACCTCATGGACCAGCCCACGCCAGAGCTCCCTGTCGGCCGTCACCCCCAGCTCCTTCAAGGTCAGTCCAGTCACTTCAAGGATGCCATCCATCCATCTTGCCCTTGGTCGGCCCCTCTTCCTTTTGCCTTCCACTTTCCCCAGCATAATGTCTTCTCTAGGCTTTCCTGTCTCCTCATGATGTGGCCAAAGTACTTCAACTTTGTCTCTAGTATCTTTCCCTCCAGTGAGCAGTCGGGCTTTATTTCCTGGAGGATGGACTGGTTGGATCTTCTCGCAGTCCAAGGCACTCTCAGCACTTTCCTCAACACCACAGCTCATCTAGCATCTATCTTCCTTCGCTCAGCCTTCCCTAAGGTTCAGCTCTCACATCCGTAGGTTACTACAGGGAATACCATGGCTTTGACTAGGCGGATCTTTGTTGCCAGTCTGATGTCTCTAATCTTCACTATTTTATCGAGACTGGACATTGCTCTCCTCCCAAGAAGTAAGCGTCTTCTGATTTCCTGGCTACAGTCTGCATCTGCAGTAATCTTTGCACCTAGAAATACAAAGTCTGTCCCGGCCTCCACGGTTTTCTCCCTCTATTTTCCAGTTGTCAATCATTCTTGTTGCCATAATCTTGGTTTTTTTGATGTTTAAGATGCAACCCGGCTTTTGCGCTTTCTTCTTTCACCTTGATTAGAAGGCTCCTCAGCTCCTCCTCGCTTTCGGCCATCAGAGTGGTGTCATCTGCATATCTGAGGTTGTTAATGTTTCTTCCAGCAATTTTCACCCCAGCTTTGCATTCATCCAGCCCCGCACATCGCATGATGTGTTCTGCATACAAGTTAAAAAGGTTGGGTGAGAGTATGCAGCCTTGCCGTACGCCTTTCCCAATCTTGAACCAGTCTGTTGTTCAATGGTCAGTTCTGACTGTTGCTACTTGGTCCTTGTACAGATTCCTCAGGAGAGAGACAAGGTGGCTTGGGATGCCCATCCCACTAAGAACTTGCCACAATTTATTATGATCCACACAGTCAAAGGCTTTAGAATAGTCAATGAAGCAGAAGTAGATGATTTTCTGAAACTCCCTGCCTTTCTCCATTATCCAGCGGATATTGGCAATTTGGTCTCTCGTTCCTCTGCCTTTTCTAAACCCAGCTTGAACATCTGGCAACTCTCGCTCCATGTATTGCTGGAGTCTTCCTTGCAGGATCTTGAGCATTACCTTACTGGCATGAGAAATAAGGGCCACTGTACGGGAGTTTGAGCAGTCTTTCGCATTTCCCTTTTTTGGTATGGGGATATAAGTTGATTTTTTCCAGTCTGATGGCCATTCTTGTGTTTTCCATATTTGCTGGCAAATGGCATGCATCACCTTGACAGCATCATCTTTTAAGATTTTAAACAGTTCAGCTGGGATCCCGTCATCTCCTGCTGCCTTGTTGTTAGCAATGCTTCTTAAGGCCCATTCAACTTCACTCCTCAGGATGTCTGGTTCTAATTCATTCACCACACCGTCATAACTATCCTCAATATTATTATCCTTCCTATACAGATCTTCTGTATAGTCTCGCCACCTTCTCTTGATCTCTTCAGCTTCTGTTAGGTCCCTGCCATCTTTGTTTCTTATCATACCAATTTTGCCTGAAATTTACCTCCAATGTTTCTAATTTTCTGGAAGAGGTCTCTTGTCCTTCCTATTCTGTTGTCTTCTTCCACTTCCATGCATTGCTTATTTAAAAATAGTTCCTTATCTCTTCTGGCTAACCTCTGGAATTGCGCATTTAACTGGGCATATCTCCCCTTATCCCTGTTTCCTTTTGCTTTCCTCCTTTCTTGGGCTACTTCCAGTGTCTCAGCAGACAACCATTTTGCCTTCTTGGTTTTCTTTTTCTTTGGTACGTACTTTGTTGCCGCCTCCTGAACAATGTCGCGGAGAAAAGGCCTTACTGGTGCATTATTTAAACTGTTATGTTTATTCATATCATGATCTGATCACCATACTCAATATATCCCATATGCATGGGGGTATTGGGGTAATGATACAAAAGGTTTGCTAGCGTAGACCCTCTTTCACTCAGACTCAGCCCCCCCCGAACCTCAGCCCCCCCGAACCCCCTCCCTGAAAAAAACAGCCCCCCCTCCCAAATCGAAATCCTGGCTACGGGCCTGACTGGACTTAATGTCAGGGGACAACCTTTATCTTTTATAGGAATGAAATTAGAAGCCCAGGCTTCTCACCATGACCTTTCTCCTTTGCTATACAAATCTGCTTTCATGCACATCCTAGTAAAGAATATAAATAACTATGAAGAAGTCTAATGAGCAGATTCACTTGCAAACACTGGAATATCTTTTTCATGTCACTATAATACCTCCACTTACCTAGTTGGTTTGATATCATTCCTTCAGAGCACTGTTGACAAAGGTAGCAACAAACTGGTTCACCTTGATGGATGATCTTGCTCTGTCCAGGAAAACAAGGCGTAACACACCTGGACTGGGGAGGTTTCTATCAATAATCAGAGAGAAGGGTTCAGAGAATCTATATTTAACTTTTTATTATTACACAGTATCATATAAACCTGTGCTGATCTCTTACAATTCTAAGATCCACAATGGTTAGTAATCCACCCTATACCTTGAGCCCTTGAATTTCCTCATGCACCTCTCATAAACTGTTCTTAGGGATGAGTCACTTCCTAACTAAACCAGTTTGATTTTGCAATATACTGTAGCCTGGCCCCAGAGACCCTAGAGTACTTAATGTTGGAATTTATGGACTTGGCAAGCTGTCCTATCCTATTCAAAAACTAATATGAGCCTCATGAAAATCATATACATCGATACCTGATAAAACTTGGGATTCCAATGCACAGCACTTCCATCAATGGTAAACTTTTTTCCTACAGGAGCCTGGGGATCCATCCTGCCAATATGTATTCGATAGAGGGACTGATTGGGGAATGTGAATGTGTTGATGATATCATAGCCACCTGCCAATTTCCCTTTGTCATCAAAAAATATTTCTTCGCCAGCACTGTTGTTGAAACGGACATATTTCAGAAAAGGATGAAGCTAGATCAGAAGTGGGGAAGAAATTAATGAATTTGGATTAACAATGGGAAATGGCAATAATAATAGTAATAATAATAATAATAAGAAGAAGAAAATGTGGAGCTTTTGCAAGAATTTGAAGAACCAGCATCTGAAGCACTTGTTGAACTACCAGGAACATTGACAGCAAGACAACAAGAGCTCAAGGATAAAATCATGGACCATGGCGTATCAAATGCAATAAGAAAGCGACTCCCAACATTAAAAACAGTGCCTAAGAGACAACTGGCACCTCTCATGAAGGATGTGAATACATTACTTTCTACTGTCCAAATAACATCAACTGAACAAACAAACAAACCCATTTGCCTAAAGTACAGCAGTGATAATAACAGAAGAGCTTGGGTTCCTACAATCTTGAGCACTGGTGGAACATGGACCTTGAGACTTGGGAGTTATAGTTGCTGGGATTTATAGTTCAACTACAATCAAAGAGCATTCTGAATACCATCAACAAAAGAATTGGGCCAAACTTCCCACAGAGAACCTCCATGTGTTTTCTGATGGTCTTTGACGACCCCTCTGACACCCCCCTCATGGCACCCCCCGGGGTCCCAATCCCCAGATTGAGAAATGCTGCTCTAAGCATTGCTGGTTAAAATTAAAAAACAAAACAAAAACAAAGCAATATTGAAAATGTTAGCTGTAGGAATCAATGGGGGAAGAAAGTAAGGAGGAATTCAGGGGTCCTTCCATACAGCCCTATATTCCAGAATATCAAGGCAGAAAATCCCACATTATATGAGTGTGGACTCAGATAACCCAGTTCAAAGCAGATAATGTGGGATTTTCTGCCTTGATATTCTGGGATATAGGACTGTGTGGAAGGGCCTGTAGACTGCTTTTTCTCTCAATGCTTTCTAAATACATAGGTATCTGTGTCCTCAAGTTTCTGGTTTTTGTTGACATTAAAGTGAACCTATCTTGGCAAGGTTTCCCATTTGCTTCCTCTCAGTCTGCAGTAGTGATAAGACAAGGGAATTTTCCTACCTGCCATGGGTGAATATTCTGAAGATCCCACGTGTCTCTGGTTCTGAATGCCTTCTGCTTAAATCTGGATGAAAACATGGCATGAAGAGCATGTGCTATGACATGAACAGCATTGTAGATACTGTAACCCTGGCCAGACATTCCCTTTTCAAAGACATATTCAGAAAGGCTATCCAACTTTTCTTCCCCAGTGCAGATTTTTGCATTTGGTATAAAAATGTTATGTGTGGGATATGAACACACAAATGCATTTGACCAGAACATATGGAGGAAATACAGATTATATTGATTTGGATTAATTGTTCCAATTGTTTCAGCATAGCCTGCGACATCTTTTGTGTGGAGGGAAAAGGACAAAGTACCATTTAAGGATTTGGGTGGGAATGCTCCACTAAAATATACGGTTGAGAAATCCCATCGAGCCGTTATGATCCAGATCCTCTCAATGGGCTTCATTTCATCAAACTCCTTGAATGTTAGAATCATTCGTAAACCTTCCATAGAACGGTAATCTCCATCAACAAGAATGACATTGGTCTCTGTCATTGAGAGAATGGAACTTAGTCTCTCCAATTTACTGTCAAGCTGCTTTGCTTCCCAGTATCTTTCCCAGTGATTCTTTATTGTTGGAACAATTTCTTTGAAAGCACAGCAAATATTGTTCCGGAGTAGCTGAGGAACAAGAGACCTCAATACCATTTCACCACTGTCATCATCTGAAAGAATGAGGCCAATCCAGGTCCATCCAAAATATGTAAGCAGTTTGACAACCCCGGCATACTGAATACTTTCATTTGGTACCATGGAATACACAGAGAGGAACTCTCTTTTATCTTGCAAGGCAGGATCAAAGGAACCACAATGGAGCTAAGGAAAAATGACAATTGTTTGTGAGGTCCTTGCTTCTTCAGCTACCAACGGTGTGGGATTCAATTACTTCCCTAAACATTCTAGCAAGGTAGAAAATTGAGTGAGATGAAGGACATTATCTCACGATGAGGAATGGCTTAAAGACCTGGACATGTTTAGCCTGCAGAAGAGAAGGCTTTAGGGAGACATGATGGCCATGTGCGAATATGTGATGAGAAGCCATAGGGAGGAGAGAGCAAGTTTGTTTTTTGCTGCCCTGGAGACTAGGATGTAGAACAATTGCTTCAAACTACAGGAAAGGAGATTCCACCTGAACATGAGGAAGAACTTCCTGACTGTGAGAGTTGTTCAGCAGTGGAACTCTCTGCCCCTGAGTGTGGTGGAGACTCCTTTTTGGAGGCTTTTAAACAGAGGTGGAGCTTTGAATGTGATTTTTCTGCTTCTTGGCAGGGGGTTGGACTGGATCGCCCATGAGGTCTCTTCTCTAGTTACTGGGATTTATAGTTCACCTAGAATCAAAGAGCATTCTGAACCCCACCAATGAGAGAATTGGGCCAAACTTCCCACATAGAACCCCAATGACCAACAGAAAATACCGTGTTTTCTGGTGGTCTTTGGTGACCCTTCTGACACCCCCTCGTAACCCCCCCCCCAAGCTCCCGACCCCCAGGTTGACAAATGCTGCCTTAAGGTCATCCAGTACAACTCCCTTGATCAGGGCAAGAAAACAAGCAAAGCCTTCCTGACAAAGAACCATCCAGCCATAGATATAGATAGATATGATTCACACACACACGACAGATAGAGTATCGGGCATTTGAAAGGGACCCCTAAAGAAGGGCAATTATATGTTGCATGTTCCAGAGTAGGCAAATGAGACATCAACACTGACAAAGAAACAACAAGAAATACCGTTTATCCACAAGCATCAAGAAATTACATATATTAGAAACCAAAACTTTCTCATTACTTTATTTTCCAGATCACGAGACCAGGCAACCACAATATATACAATTGAATCAGTTTAGATCAGTTTGAAGGACAGGGAATATGCTGACAAAACCCTCTTTCCCCCAAATTGTAACTTATGGTAATTTTTCTTATGTAGACAGAAGAATGCACATACGTACCTGTGGCATTTTGTAGATATTGAAAATGTGGGGCATCTGCTTGGAGTTCTGAGAGGTGAGTCCTCCTATGATGGCCATTAACTTGTATTTCCTGTCACAGATATAGTTAAGGGGACTCCCCTGTCTTGTGAAAAGGAGATTCATCGTTCCCCAAAACGTTCCCATTTCATTGTACGCATTTTCAGTTGTCATATATGACATTGTATGGTTGGGTAAAAGCTGCTGATCTTTTTCAATCTCTTCAATTGCGAATAGCAATGCTAAGAACTGATGGTAATGTTTGGGAAGTGGGCTGCAATGAGATGGCCATAGGTTCCTCAGGTTGCATCATTCTCACAAGTAGATCATCTCAACTAGTTTACAGACAGCTGACACTCAAATGTCAGATTAAGCTGACACTTAATCATGCTCAATGCAGAGCAGCACTTCCTGAAATCCATCAAACAAAAACTGTGTTGTCAAAGGTTTTCATGGCCAGAATCACTGGGTTGCTGTGAGTTTTCCAGGCTGAATGGCCATGTTCCAGAAGCATTGTCTCCTGACATTCCACCTACATCTATGGCAGGCATCCTCAGAGGTTGTGAGGTCTGTTGGAAACTAGGCAAGTGGGGTTTATGTGTCTGTGGAATGTCCAAGGTGGGAGAAAGAATTCTTTTCTGTTGGAGTCAAATGTGAATGTTGCAATTGGTCACCTTGATTAGCGTTGAATAGCCTTGCAGCTTCAAAGCCTGACTATTTCTTGCCTGGCAGAATCCTTTGTTGGGAGGTGTTAGCTGGCCCTGATTGTTTCCTGTCAGGAATTCCCCTGTTTTTTGAGTGTTGCCCTTTATTTACTGTACTGATTTTAGAGGGTTTTTTTTAAAATACTGGTAGCCAGATTTTGTTCATTTTTATGGTTTTCTCCTTTTTGTTGAAATTGTCCCCATGCTTGTGTATTTCAGTGGCTTCTCTGAAATCCATAGGCTTCAAGGCTATTCAATGCTAAACTATGTTGGCAATTTCAACATTTACATTTGCCTCCAATGGACAAAAGTTGTTTCTCCCACCCTGGACATCCCACAGATACAGTATATAAGCTTCACTTGCCTAGTTTCCAACTGACCTCACACTCTAAGGATGCTTGCCATGGATGTGGGTGAAATGTCAGGAGAGAATTCTTCTAGAACATAGCCATGCAGCCCGGAAAACTCACAACAACCCAGTGATTCCTGCGATGAAAACCTTCAAGAACACAGTATTTAAAACTGGTGAATTCTTACTCGGCAATTTGAGAAAGAACACAATTTTAAGCCAATGTAATATAATTTGTTGGGCAGGAGTGAGAATCCTTTTGCCAACTAGATATTTTTATCTTTCAACTCCCAACATCCATAGTCACTGGCTATTGCAGCTAGTACCGAATTAATTCAGAGGCAAACAACTTTTGCAAAGTCATATTTGTAAGCATGTATCCCTTCGGAATATTCATTCCATCCAGTACAATAAAAGAGCTACTTACTAGCCATTCAGTCCCCTCTCTGGAATTCTGTCAAAGGAGAGCTCATTCAATATAGGAATCACTAAAGAGACAAATTCACCAATAACAATAGCATTTTGAAATCCATATAAATTCTTTTCACCCTCTGGCTGCCACCTGCATTTGTAGTTCCAATTTTTGCTAACAATGTGAGGCAATATTAAGAACAGAACGAGTAGCAACCATGACAACTGTCTGCATATTAACAACTGTTGGCCCCAACTATGCCTGGACAAACTCATTTTAAGAAGATGACTCCAGTACTGAATAGAAGACTATTACCAGTACTGAATAGAAGACTATTAGCCAAGACCATTTATTTATGCACAACCCGTAAAGCAAAAATCCCAGCCTATCCTGTCCAACTTTGCTTTGCTAAAGCCCCATCTGTCTCCAAAGCAGTAACAAGAACGGTTATCTTGTCATAACTTTTGAAACTACTTTTAATAGATGTTGTTTTGTGTCCTTCTGTCTCTTGAGGTGGAATTTAGTTAAGATTCTGGCTTCTGGACAGCCTTGGGATATAGCGGTTGTGATTACAGTGATTATGATAATTGCATGTAAATGATAGAGTGAGCTTGTTTTCTGCTGCTTTGGAGCCAAAAACCAAATGATTCAATTTTCAAGAAAAGGAGAGTCCATCTTAACATTAGGCTCCAAAAGGTATAACATGAATCTATTGTTTCAAATTGCACAAAAGATTCCACCTAAACATTAGAAACAACTTCTTTGCAGTGTATTGTCGAAGGCTTTCATGGCTGGAATCACTAGGTTCTTGTGGGTTTTTTCGGGCTATAGGGCCATGTTCTAGAGGCATGCCTCTAGAACATGGCCCTATAGCCCGAAAAAACCCACAAGAACCTAACTTCTTTGCAGTATGAACTACAGTAGGGTCTCGCTTATCCAACATCAACAGGCCGGCAGAACGTTGGATAAATGTAAATGTGGGATAATAAGGAGGGATTAAGGAAAAGCCTATTAAATGTCAAATTACATTATGATTTTACAAATTAAGCACCAAAACATCAACAGAAAAAGCAGTTCAATACACAGTAATGTCATGTAGTAATTACTGTATTTACGAATTTAGCACCAAAACATCACAATGTATAGAAACAGCTGTGGATCCAGGCGGGAGGCAGACTGTGTTGGATAAGATAGAACATTGGATGAGCAAAAGTTGGATAAGTGAGACTCTACTGTACTTATGATGGAATAGATAGACTATGCCTCATCACACTAGAGAAAAAAAATCCACTTAAAATCCTATTTCTCCCTCCTGCAGAATTCTGGGCTTTGTAGTTTAGAAAGGACCCTTTAACAGCCCCACTAAAGTACAAACCCAAGAATTCTGCAGGAGGCAGAAATTGGATGTTAAGTGGATTTTTCTCTAGTGTGATGAAGTGGTATCTCAGAGCTCATCCAGACATTACCTGTAGCAAACAGGAAGGTAGCCAAATGCCATTCCCTGTAAACATGGAAGAAATTGCTACAAACTGCAAAAAAACGCGAGATTTTCAGGTGCAGGAATATCCCTGTTTTGAGCTGAATATCCACATCTTTGAATGCCTGTATGTCCCTGCACTTGGAAAACATGGGATTTTTAATTTCAGTTTGTTCCCAGGTTTTAGATGTCTGTTCCTGATTGGTCAGTTCCTAAAAAGAAGGTGACAGTTGAGTAGAATGGGAAAACTTTGTTTGTGCCAGAAACTTCATGAAATGTGGCCAGGACCAAGTTGTAGCACCCTAGTCAACCATGTACATCTTTTCATAATAAGAGCAATCAGGAGCAGACATGTATAACCCAGGAACAACAGAAGGCCCTGCAGCTTATATAACCCAGGAACGGAACTTATACAATGATTCACATCTTCACATGTTCACATCTTTTTAAAATGCTGACATTTCTGGTGGAGGTCCTGCAGTGACCATCTTGGGGGCTGCAAAATCTGGCAACAAAGCAGCAAGTGTGGATAATGGAGGCAGAAATCCCAGCTCCAACAGGTTTGTATTTGGACATCATCTCAGATCCTGTTTTTCTTTTTCTTTTGCCCCGGACTAAAGCGCACAATTTTGTGCTGTCTGGAACTGCCCTAAGATAGTTGCAGACCTTCCTTTTTGCCAGGTTTTTGATATCTTACAATTCAGTCTCTAACATCCGATGAAGTTGACCCTCCATATCCATGGGTTCTGCATCCATAGACAATCAGCCATGGCTCAAAAGTATTTGGGGGAAAAAACACTTGCTTTTGTTGCATGTTGAGCACTATACCAAGGTGTAGGCATACCTCGCTGTAGATTCCTGCAGTTTCCCAGACCCTCAAGTGCTCTCTTTCACTTGAGTTGCTTACCAAAGAATCCTAGAGTTGGAAGAGACCTTGTGGGCCATCCAGTCCAACCTCCTGCGAAGAAGCAGGAAACAATTTCATATAAGGAACACCATCTCATAATCCCACTGTATATAACTGGATTTGAGTATCTACGGATTCTGTTATCCATGGGAGGTTCTGGCAACAAAGCCCAGTGGATACTGAGAGCCCACTGTAGTAGAAACACAGCAGGATGAGACACTACTTCTTTTGTTTCCCGTTCTCTCACACACACACACTTTTTCACAAAAATAGACAAAATATGATACGAGATATCTTAGGAACATAAATTCTCCTCCCCACACAAAACACGCAGTCAGTATTTATTTCATATTTCATATTCCCTACTGGACCCAAAGTTCCTTTCATGAAAACTCTCCATCTTGTACATTCTCTTTCCTGTAGTGAAGTAAAGATTGCAAACATAATGTCACAGTCTGTGCAGGTTTCTTGACAACATTTGTTGCAGTTGACGTGGATCGATTATGATAGTCTGTTGTTAATTTAATATGTTTGGTCTACTTTTCACTTTTCGGGATTGTTTATTTACTTGTGTTGACTCTATTTATATTGGTTATTGGTTTATTGTTTTATTATCATGATTTTATTTTTATTATTGTTGTGTTATTTACACTGTTGTAAACCACTCCAGGTCCCCTCAGAGGGATGGAATTGGGTATAAATAAAGTTGTTGTTGTTGTTGTTGTTGTTGTTGTTATTATTATTGTTGTTGTTATTATCAAAGTCATTACAGTCTTCCGGTAGCTCAAGAAAGATGATGAGTTGAAAGGAAGTCCTTTTCCCTCTTAAGCCATGGTTTGGCCAAAGAACTCTACATCTCCTCTCGAACGTTTTCACGACACGAATTCCTGTTGCCTGCTTTATTTCACAGTGCCTAGCATCTTACATTGTAGTTATGGATTCATAATCTATAGTAATAAATCTGTAACTGTTCTATATTAATTTCTGTTGCATGTTTGTGATTGTGCCACTATTGCCACAATTGTAAATGTCACTCAGAATCCACTTTAAACTTGAAGGAGTCCCCTCAGGTGACAGAGATCTGTAGTAAGGCAAGTGGGGAGCTTCATAATGTAAAGGTTTTTGTGTGTCGGGAGTGACTTGGGAAACTGCAAGTCACTTCTAGTGTGGGAGAATTGGCCGTTTGCAAGGACGTTGCTTAGGGGACGCTCAGATGTGTTATTATCCTGTGGGAGGTTTCTCTCATGTCCCCACATGGAAAGCTGGAGCTAACAGATGGGAGCTCATCCCACTCCCCAGATTTGAACTGCTGACTTTTTGGTCAGCAGTCCTGCCAGCACAAGAGTTTAACCCATTGTGATACTGGGGGCTCCTTATAATGATACAGTGGCACAATAGCAAGAAGGGTGCAGCCCCATTATCTTGATGTACCCCACTTGACTTTGTCTCAGATCTCCATTGCATGGACAAGCTCCCCCAAGTTTAAGGTGGGTTCAAGGGATCAATTCCTTAAATCATGTAATGATGGTAGGGTTCTTTGATACCTTTCTGTTGACACACTCAGGAAGTTTACAGTTTTAAAACAATTTAAGGAACACAATTTAAGAAAGGAAAGGGAAAAGACAAAACTTGCAAATTCAAGTAGAACAAGAAGCAAAGAAGAGCTAAATGACAACTAGTCCTCATGCAAAGTGTCCATTGTTGTCCCAGCTCCCCCACAAAGACATGAAGATATAATGGTGCCTGAAAGAGGTGAGCTCAAGAGAGCCTTGAGATTCAGCTGTCAAATGTTTTTTCAGGCATCACAATGCCAACAATCTTTTATGCCCAAATGGCAATGACGGCCATGATGCAGAAGCCTAGGCTAATGAAGAAGAACTTGGTGAGGGGACTTTCGTGCGACCGCAGCTCATATGGAAGAATCTCCAGGAAGGTGACATAGAGGAAAGTCCCCGCTGCCAATCCTTCGAGCACAGCTTGTGCCAGGCTGCTCCCATCGCTATTGGAAAGTGAGACGCCGATGCCCACGCCGATGCCAGCTGGAGACATCAGCGCAAAGACCACCAGGTAAAGTAGTCTCCACTGGACCTTGGTCCCGCTCTGCACCAACTTCAGTGACAAGCTGAAGACCACAATGGCCTTGTGGATGAGCACTGCTAAACAAAGTTGAACAGCCGCTGTTACCTGCTTCTGAACCCCAATAGCCAGGCCTTCAAAGACCGAGTGGAAGGACAAGGAGAGGAAGAGCACAAACGCCCGTAATGAGCTGTGGGCTTCTGGAAGGTCCTTGTGATTGTCTTGACTTTCATGGTCGCCATGAGCATGAACAGCCCGGGGACAGCAATGAAGAACCACACTTTCGATAATAAACACAAGGAAGAAGCCGAGTGAGATTATCAGCTCGCCAAAAGGATATCCCTGCCATGGGGAGAAAACAAAAAGGAAAAGAGAGATTGAAATAAATAAAATGTGCCTTAATTAGCAATGTCCTAGCCATGCTAGTTTGGTACAATCAAAAAAGGAAAGTTTTATGGCATCTAGAAGGCTAACAGATTAAATACAGAATGGTATTCTGTGCATCTGATGAATTAGATAATATCATCCATGAAAGTCTATGTCAGTGGTTCTCAACCTAGGGTCCCCAGATGTTTTTGGCCTACAGCTCCCGGAAATCCCAGCCAGTTTAGCAGCTGTTAGGATTTCTGGGAGTTGAAGGCCAAAACACCTGGGGACCCACAGGTTGAGAACAACCGGTCTATGCGATAATGTCTTAGGGCCCTTTCACACAGCCAGAATATCAAGGCAGAAAATCCCACAATATATGCTTTGAACTGGCTTATCTGAATCCACAGTGCCATATATTCCAGTTCAAAGCAGAAAATGAGGGATTTTATTCAGCAGTGTGGAAGTGGCCTTAGTTTTTAGGATGCACAAGATTTTCTGTTAGTGTCATAAGATTATTTTGGCAGTTGGCTTTCTGTGTAAAGTCCAGTGACTGCCTCCATCCATCACTTTATTCTAACAGATCAGAGCTAAAAAAATTAATCCTGAACTAATAGAGAGGTTTCATATTAAAAGGCTACTGTTGTTCAACCAAGGACTTCATCACATTGACTTATTTCTGAAATATCTCAGTGTCACCTTAGATTGAACACTAACATACAGGAAACACTGCATGAACACCAAGCACAAAGTAGATGCACGCAATAACACCCTGTGGAAACTTACTGATAGCACCTGGGATGCAGACCTAGAATTAATAATAACTTCAGCCCTGGCTTTGTCTTATTCCGCTGCCAAGTATGCCTGCCCTGTTTGGCACAAGTCTGCCCACGTGAAGCAGGTGAACATAGAACTGAATGAAACATGCAGAATAATCACAGGATGTCTTAAACCTACACCTGTTGATAAACTCTACTAGCTAGCTGGCATTGCTCCCTCTGATGTGCAACGGGAAGTTGCTGCTAACTGTGAGAGAAATAAGGTTGAATACTGTGAAAGTCACCCACTGCATGGCTACCAGCCTCCTCCCAGTAGACTCAAATCAAGGGAAAGATTCATGAAAGCCACCACTCCTCTTAATGTTCCCCCAGTAACAGAAAGAGTATCCCTCTGGGTAGCTAAACCAAGAAATTCCAATTGGATGGCTCCCCATGAGGGTCTTCCTCCAGGGGCAATCCAAGAATGGGCAACCTGGAAGTCCTTGAATAGACTCAGAAGCGGAGTGGGCAGATCAAAAGACAAACTGGCAAAATGGCACTACCTAAAAGAATCCCACACTTTGTGTGACTTTGGAGCAGAACAGACAACTCCATGTCTGTATGTTTGTCTGCAATGTCCTGCTTCACGTACAGAGGAAGAATTGTTGAAGGCTACAGGCAATGCGATCTCTGTTGCCTGCTTTTGGTCAATATTTAGCCACCTGTGCCCCTTCTCTTTTTATCAGTTTAATACTAATTTATGTAGTGCTTTTGATATGAAATAAATAAATAAACTGATTTCCTTGTCCAAGGACACTTCAGGCTCATTTCAATGATGGAGAGACATGGAGTCTATCACAGGAGACTAAACTACTTCCAGCCTTCATGTGTTCCCATTCATCATTGAAATGAGCCTGTAGAAGAGATCTCTCACCATGGGTGAATAATTGCCTTTTGAGCTGCTACTGTGATTTGAGCTGCTCTTTAAGGCTAAAAACATGTGGAATGGGAAGCATCCTTCCCTGTCCTGTTTCATTGCTGAAAATCGAGAAAGAGCTGCTGCATACAGAGAGCAAAGGAGGGCAGGCTTTGGCTGAGGAGATGGTAGCAGAAGCAGCAGAGAAGCAAAAAGATAGATAAAAAGAGAGATTTTTTTTTGGCTGATTGAGAAGGGGGAAAAGGAGGGAGGACTTGACAAGCTTTCCCCTGTGTGCTGAATGTGAAGGCAGGCAAGAAGAGGTCAGGAACGCTTCAAGAAAACAGTAGGATGGGAAGGAGTAAAGGTTTCACAGAGTAACTTGCGATCGATGAGCATTATTGCCATCACTATAGGGACAGACCCTCACGCTTCTCTACAAATCTGTAACTCCATGTGATCAAGTCACAAGTCTCCTGGTGTCAATGTTAAAGTTAAACCAGCAGGTGGAGGTCAAGAACTTCTATCAGCCAAATTACTTCCTGTAGTCATTGTTTAGAACTCTATATTATTCCTGCTCTGTAGAAAGAAAAAATATGGTTGTACTTCAGTGTAAACAGAAACATGTAAAAACAAATTCTATGGACCTGGAAGGTCTTACATGTGGGCATTGAGTGTGGCTGGATTTCCACTAACAGCTAACCTGTAGAGGGGAACATTTGTGACCTTCTGAATTTCTGCTCCCAGAAGCCCAGCTAGGTCTTGCCAATGACAAGAGAGTATGGGAGTAGTAATTCAGAACTTTCTTTGGCTGAATCCAGACAGGCCTTTATCTCAGAAGCATCCACATTAAAAAACGCAGATGTTTTTGGGGGCCTGTCCACACCCACCCCAGAAAGCGCAGGCTTTCTGGGGTGGGTGTCCAGACATTCTCTTGGAACTAGCCCGAGAGAACATCTGGAGGCCCTATCACTCTCCCCCAAGCCCCAGATCCCTTAGAAAAGTAATAAAAACTTACGTGCCCTCCATTACAAGCCTTAACTGGCCCCCTCCGCTCTCCTGGCACATCATTTCTACGTGCCGGGAGAGCTGGTTGAGGCTTGTAATGGAGGGCACATACATTTTTATTACTTTTCTAAGAGGTCTGGGGGCTTGGGGCGTGGGGTGTGGGTATTCCCACAGTTTACTGGGCTTATTTGGCCCAGAAAACTGTGGGAATACTGTCTGGCCTGCAGTATTCTGGAGTTCAGACCCGGAAATCGTAGATTTATCCTGCACCTTCCAAGAAGGCGTGGAATAAATCCACTATCAAATTAATTTGCTACAAACAAGGGTTTTCCTGGTTTGTAGCGAATTAATTCAGGACTGTCCAGAACGTTGTCTGGACAGCCCCTCCTTTATTGAAGTAGATACTGCAATAAAGGTCCTGTCTCGATGGGCCCTTTGTTGTTACATGTTAATGACTTTCTTCTCACAAAGGGGCTTGAAGTAATCTAAAAGTTTCTTCCATCACCTGTTTATTTTTAGAAGGGTCTTGTGAGATTTTTACAGCGAGGGTGGACAACAATGAGAAGCAAGGGGAATACATCATCCCTACAAGACATCCTGCACCCACATACTCCTGCATGCAAAATATGTGTTTTTCATATTGAAATATGTAATGGAAACAAGGAAAGCATACTTTGTGCAGGCCTTGGGAGCACAAAAGGCATTGCTTTTGGAAACCTTCTGAGAACTAGGATCATAGTCTTTGGAGACCTTAGGAGCATGAGAGGCATTGTTTTTGAAGCCCTTGGGAGCATGAATGGCATTGTTTTTGGAGACTTTGGGAGAACTATAGGCATAGCCTTTGGAGATCTTAGGAGTATGAAAGGCATTGCTTTTAGAGACCTTGGGATCACAACAGTCATCAGTTTTGGAGACTTTAGGAGTATGAGTGGCATTGTTTGGAGACTTTGAGAAGATGAGAGGCATTGCTTATGGAGATGTTGGGAGCATGAGAGCCGGGGGGGGGGGGAAGCTTGGGGGGCTTCAGCCCCCCCCCCCCCCAAATTCTCATGGTGGTCTGCGAAAAGGCCTTACTGGTACATTATTTAAACTGTTACGTTTATTCATATCATGATCTGATCACCATGCTCAATATATCTCATATGCATGGGGGTATTGGGGTAACTATACAAAGGTTTGCTAGGGTAGACCCTCTTTCACTCAGACTCAGCCCTCCCCCCCCCGTGAATCAAAACTCAGCCCCCCCCCCCCCAATCAAAATCCTGGCTACGGGCCTGATGAGAGGCATTGCTTTTGGTGACCATGGAGCATTTCAGATATTAAAGAAGTATTTTTTGGCAACAGGAAATGACTGGAAATCACTACGCTTCCTATTTTAGAAATAGGCTTCTTCTGACCTAAAATGGCACAGGAAGAGACAAAAATGTGGCAAAAATGTCCTCATGCCCTTTACAGGATTTTTGGAGGCAAACAAATATTTGAACTCCCCCCTCCCCCCAAAAAAGAATTGACCTCTTGGGGCCTTTTGGATCACAAAAGAAGCCCTGATTGCATACTGACTTTGACCATCCTTGATATAGTAGTGATGGGACCAAATAAACATCATGTTGACTTTGGATTTATGCCTCTGTAGTTTTCAACTGACCCTGCCTACTAAACCATTATACTGCTTATACAACAAAATTCATTGTCTTAGTTGTCAGAGTATGAATGAAAAACATAGTTGATCAAGCCCTCTGAACCTGTAGCTTGGACTCTCATATGTTTCCAGTGTGTCTTACACATTGGTGCGTCATTTAGTTGAATCTTTGCAGAAAATCAAACAAATATGACACAATCCTTATAAAGTCTATAGAGACTTTATAAGGATTCTTTGGAAGCTTTTAAACAGAAGTTGGATGGCCATCTGTCAGAGGTGATTTATATGCAATATTCCTGCTTCTTGGCAGGGGGTTGGACTGGATGAGGTCTCTTCCATGAGGTCTCTTCCAACTCTTTGATTCTATGACACAAATTTGTGTTTGCCATTTCACGCCCTGAGCTATGAGTAGTCTTAAAGTTAGAAGCCTTAAAAAAAAAGGGGGGGGGGGCTAAGCATTTCCATCTGAATGTTATTCATTTATATTGTGTTGCTGTGAGTTTACTGGGCTGTATGGTCATGTTCCAGAAGCATTCTCTCCTGATGTTTCACCCACATCTATGGCTGGCATCCTCAAAGGTTGTGAGGTCTGTTGGAAACTAGGCAAGTGAGGTTTATATATGTCTGGAATGTCCAGGGTGAGAGAAAAAACTCTTGTCTGTTGGGCACAAGTGTGAATATTGAAACTGGCCACCTTGACTAATGTTGAATGGCCTTGCACCTTCAAAGACTGGCTGATTCCTGCCTGGGGGGATCCTTTGTTGGGAGGTGTTCGCTGACCTCACAACCTCTGAGGATGCCTGCCATAGATGTGGGTGAAACGGCAGGAGAGAATACTTCTGGAACATAGCCATACAGCCCAGAAAACTCACAGCAACCCAGTGATTCCAGCCATGAAAGCATTCAACAACACATTCATTTATATTGTTTTACCCCATTCTTCAACCTGAAAAGAACAATAAATGGCTCATCAAATCTAAACAGAAGTAAAACCACAAAGATTTTTAGAGCAGAACGATCAAGGTAAACACTCTGAAGTTTACTGTGGTTTCTCTTCTGCGGCAGAAGTACGGCAGCCACATGTGAACAAGATCAGATGATTAAAACAGGTTACGAAATATACAAAGAACAAGATTATGATGCTAATCTTGCTCTGAGCTTGTAATTAAAGTTAAAAATAATTCATCATCCATAATACCTTGCAGCTTAACTATAATAAACATGTTATCATTTTCACATCTACCAAGTAAAGTGCTTGAGTAATGATTTACTAGTGATATACATCTTCACATATTTCATTCTTGCATGTACAAATGAATTTAAACATTTTCTTCCCAATGAGTGAGACTATATGCATTTTCATGGGTTTTGTTAATTTCCTCATTTTTGGGGGGGGGGGGGATTCATTAATGCTAAAAAAAACCAAACACCAAGACCTGGATAATTTTGTTTTAAATTAATATAAAATATATACACATTTCTTCTAATACATCCAATATTGGATACAATTTTGCCTTATACCAGCCATGGGCAAACTTCAGCCCTCCAGGTGTTTTGGACCTCAACTCCCACAATTCCTGGGAATTCTGGGAGTCGAAGTCCAAAACACCTGGAGGGCTGAAGTTTGCCCATGTCTGTCTTATATCCACTATTTAGAAATATTTTAAAACATATAATTTCCCCTAATATATTCCTTTCCAGGGTTTCCTTTGCCATCATATGCACATTTTGCATGTTTCCTAAAAGCAAATTTCACTGAAAAAAATAGAAAAACTGCAAATCACAAAAAATAGCAAGAACTTGATTTCCATGGTCTTTCAAAGGTGTGAAATTAAATACATTTGCATAATAATGAGATCAAATTAATTCCTTCCCAGTGTCTACACTTGATCATACACTACTTGACATACTCACATCAGAATCACCATCATCATCAGAAGTGCTGTTCAGTTTGTTTGTGGAACCTCCCTGTATGTAAACACAACGGCAGAGTTAGACTGGTGCTGTAACAAAAGCAGTGTAAAGCTGTACTCTGATTTAAAGCAATTTGGAACGTCTTCATAATCTAAATTCAACTCTTTCAATTGTGAGATGACGTGTGCTTTTTGGCCAAAAGCACTTCCCAATTCACAGTATGCACAATCACAATGCAAAGAAGGTAAGCAAAGGTGGGAAGGCAGACCTGGAAGCAAATGTGATGTGAACTTAGATCAATCCAGTACAGTATTACCTACTCTGACTTACAGTAGTTGTTTAGAGATTCCAGTGGAGAAGTTTCCCATTGTTTGTTTTCTAATCCATTTAAACTTAGAAAAACAAACTGAGTATCCTTTATTTGAAATTCCAAAATTGAAAATATTCCAAAATTCAATTTTTTTCACATGGGTGGCTGAGATAGTGACACTTTTGCTTTCTGGATGGCTCAACTTTGTTTCATGCACATAATTAATTATTAAATATATTGCATAAATGTACTATGTGTATAAGATACAGTATGTATGAAATATATAAATGAATTTCATGTTTAGACTTGATTCACATCTCCAAGATTATGTAAATATTTTAAAAAATCCAAAATATGGAACATTCTTGGTCCCAAACTTTAGATAAGATAAACAACCTATACTCAAGCCTTCTTTGCAATGCCAGTTGGTGAATATCATATCAGTACAACAGTCAATCTAAATCAGGTTGTATTCCAAATTTTAAAGTAGCTTGAAAAGTATTTTGGGACTAGGGACATTGGATGACTCTTGGAGTTCATCATAAATAGGAGTCTAGTGCCTAGATCCAGGGAACTCATGCTACCCCTCTATTCAGCCTTGGTCAGACCATATCTGGAATCACACTGTGTCCAATTCTGGGCACCACAATTGAAGGGAGATATTGACAAGCTGGGATGTGTCCAGAGGAGGGCAAATAAAATGATCAAGGTTCTGGAGAACAAGCCCTATGAGGAGCAGTTTAAAGAGCTGGGCATGTTTAGCCTGCAGAAGAGCAGTCTGAGAGGAGCTATGGTGAGGGCCATATATAAATATGTGAGGGGAAGTCATAGGGAGGAGGCAGCAAGCTTGTTTTCTATTGTGCTGGATGCGGAACAATGGCTTCCAACTACAAGAAAGGAGATTCCACCCAAACATTAGGAAGTACTTCCTCACTGTGAGAGCTGTTCAGCAGTGGAACTCTCTACCCTGGAGTGTGGTGGAGTCTCCTTCTTTGAAGGCTTTTAAACAGAGGCTGTATGGCCATCTGTCGGGGGTGCTTTGAATGCAATTTTCCTGCTTCTTAGCGGAGGGTTGGACTGGATGGCCCATGAGGTCTCTTCCAACTCTATGATTCTATGATTCTACTATGTTTATAAGATATATATGAAACAAATGCATTTCATGTTTAGACTTGGTTTCCATATCCAAGATTATGTAAGTATTTAAAAAAAATGGAACATTTCTGGTCCTAAACTTTAGATAAGAGATAAACAACCTGTATTAGAGACTTCTTTGCAATGCCAGTTGCAGAACATCATATCAGTATGACAGTCAATCCAAATTAAGTTTTATTCCAAATTTTAAAGTAGCTTGAGAAGTATTTTGGGACTAGGGTCCAGGACATTGGATAACTCTCGGAGTTCACCAGAAAGACTTCACTGTTACACCAACATGGAGGTCCCCAACAACCATTTCTTCCACTCAGCCGTGGGCCATTCAATTTTCAAGGCATATCTATTATGAGACAGTCCTGCAATGGCACTCACCTGCCGCTGCCGCTTTTTAATTTCTTCTTGAATGTCTCCCAAAGCATCGGCTACCATGTGCATTAGGCAAGCACCCAGGAACACTCCGGCAGCAAAGCAGCCTATGCAACTAAGGATGCGCCGATGCTTCCCTAAAAGGGATGAAGGGAAGAGTGAAAGCTATTACTTGAGAGTCACATGTAGCTAGAAGCCAAGAGTATCTGTCAAGTCCTGAAGAATTTATAGAGGTGACTCATCTGCTGCCCTGAGATCCTATGAGGAAGGTTGGATTAGGGATGGAAAGAATATTCAATACTATCAAAAAAAAAAGCTATCAGAAAACATGTTTTTGAGTATCAAATTAACCCAGTGTTTCTCAACTTTCCTAATGCCGTGACCCCTTAATACAATTCCTCATGTTGTGGTGACCCTCAACCATAAAATGATTTTCGTTGCTACTTCATAACTGTAATTTTGCTATTGTTACGGACCATAACATTAATATTCGATATGTAGGATGTATTTTCATTCACTGGACCATATTTGGCACAAATACCCAATACGCCCAAATTTGAATACTGGTGGGGTTGGGGGGGGGGGGGTTGATTACATAATTTGGAAGTTGTGGTTGCTGGGATTTATAGTTCACCTACAATCAAAGAGCATTCTGAACTCCACCAATGATGGAATTGAATCAAACTTGGCACATAGAACTCCCACGACCAACAGAAAATACTGGAAGGGTTTGGTGGGCATTAACCATGAGTTTTGGAGTTGCACTTCACCTACATCTGGAGAGCACTGTGGACTCAAACAATGATGGATCTGGACCAAACTTGGCACAAATACTCAATATGCCCAAATGCGAACACTAGTGGAGTTTGGGTAAATAGACTTCGTCATTTGGGAGTTGTAGTTGCTGAGATTTATAGTTCATCTACAATCAAAGAGCATTTTGAACCCCACCAATGATAGAATTGGGCCAAGCTTCTCACGCAGAACCCCCATGACCAACAAAAAATACTGTGTTTTGTGATGGTCTTTGGTGACCCCTCTGACACCCCCTTGCGACCCCCTGGTCCCCAGGTTGAGAAACAATGAACTAACTGAACAGAAAAAATCCTGGACTAGTGTTATTCTTTGCCATTCAGGATTTTTTTTGTGTCAAATTCACATGTGATTGTTTCACACAGAAAACATTTTCTGCAAAGGAAATGGCGTTTTTCCATGCAAAACAACTACGTGCGAATTCAGTGCAGAACAGGTCCTGATTTTTTCACAACAGGAAGAAAATTGTTTAAATGACTTGTTTCATTCTTTAATAAGAAAATTAGTGATGCACATGATATAAATAACAGGAATTGTGTAAGTCCCTAAAAATTGGACTGCATGTTCCAGCATAAATAATGATGAGGAATGATGAGAGCATCAGTCCAAATAAATATTTTTACTACTAAGATTAAGTATGGAAAAGAATTTCACATCACTAAAAGATAACAATTAACCAGAAATCTGGAAATATTTTTCCCTATTTTGAGTGTGAAAAATGTAAGATAATTTAAGAAAAATGAATGTGAAACTGAAATGGATTAACTTCTTCATTCTGGCCCTGTTGTTTGAACTTTGAATATTGAATTTCTGTGCAGTTAGCCATTTGAGTGCTGAATTGAGTTTACTCTTTTAACTTTGGAGAAGTTTCTTATCTTTAATACTTAGATATGCTGGAAATAACAATTTGTATTGAGTTGGAAGAGTTCAATTGGGAAAACAATCATTCTGTTTGGCACCTGAATCCTTTACTATAACTGTAAAAATAATTGGATTATTTGCAAAAAATATATATAGGTAGGTAAAGGTTTCCCCCTGACATTAATTCCAGTACCATGGACAGAACTTTTTGCCCAATGAAATACACATGGCCTCCACTTTGCAGTCTGATATTTCCTCCTTGCAGTTCATTCAACTAGATTACATCCAACCCTGAAGACTGGAAGACCTCCCCCCTGCATCCCTTCCATTGATTCCTCACCTCTGGCCATGTTGAATTGGAACCATTTGACCTGGGATGGGATGAGGCCACAAAAAAGTGTGATCACCAAAACGCCAGCCAGGCAGCCGATTTTCACTGCCAGCAAGTCATCCATCTTTGCAGAGATGGGTAGAAAAAGTGTGAAGAGGAAACAGCTACTGAGAAATCCTGTCTTGGACTGATGTGCGTTTGTCTCCTTTCAGCTCCGACTGGCCAGGTATCTTCTCATAACTTGAATCCCATCTCAGAGAAATCTGCCAAGTTTGGCACTCTTGTAGTTGAATAATCTTCTTCCTCTTGAATGATTGGTAGAACAAAAATCAGGAGAACAACTTCATACTCATGCAGGATTCAAAAACTACACATTGGCAAGATCATAAGCAAATGGATGTCTCGGTTGTGACCAGAGGTATCACTTCCTTCTTCCACTTCTGCAAGATTTAGTTAAGACTCCCTGCTACTGTCTTATCTTCATGATGCTCTGCAGCACCCTACTGTTCCTCTGTTCTTCCATTGGTCTTGACCAACCCTCCTCTTCCGTTCCACTTCTCTCCTCCTCTTTCTTCTCTTCCTTTCACTACTCTCCTCTGCTTGCCTCCATCCCAGCTCTGTTCTGTTCCTTGCCACCTCCTTGGGAGCCTGCAAATAATCATCCCGATACTCCAAACAAGGAAACTTCACGCCTTCTTTGGTGTCCCAGCCCTTTCCAGTCCCTTCATTATGTAAATATACAATGGCATACATAGTAAACAGTCTGTGGGAGACTTTCCACATTAACGTGAGGTCACTAGGCCACAAGCAGGTAAAGTCATGGGCCCCACCTTAAGTTTCTGATAAACACAATAATTAAAAATTGGAGTTAGTTGATCTAGCTCAAGATTGAGAACTGGCCTCCTACTGGTGGGTTGGGATCTATACATGAATCAGTCCAGTTCAGGTGCAGCTGTAACCTGCTCAGGCAAGGGAAAGGTATGCCTTGATCTCCAGCCAAATGTCATTAAAAAAACATTTAGTTTATATACATACAAGGCACTTGTAGCAATGTGGAAATGCTTTCAGTGAAAGATAACATAGTCAATCGATTGGAACAATTGAATAGCAGGTAGAATAGGGATGAGATATTCTAGGCAACAAGTGTTTGAAGGCAAAAGACCATGTCTCACCAAACCTGCAGAAACATCTGGCCAGCCCACAATCCTGATCCCGCTTGGCTTCCTTTGGCAGACAACTTCAAATCCAGTTTGACAGGCTGGATGGAGCCACACCCAAGTGTCCCACATTTAAAGACCAAGACTTTTGTTTTATGAAGAGTGAAGAAATAGCTCCACAGCCTGACACTCCAGCTTCTGGAATTACTTATTGCCGACACTGTGTGACATTGATGGTTTCTGGTGGAGTCTGTGGGAAGTAAAACCCCAAGATGAGAGCAAACAAAAGCTTCAGCGCTGAAAATACAACTACTTTGGTATCTTCGTTCTCCTCTCCACACTTTCGTTCTCTAGTACAATTAATGCTGCAATCCTAAATAAATACTTTAAGAATTAATTGAATGCATAGTGAAATTTACCTTCCATTAAACATACCTAGAATGGTGTCACCAACCTACAGTGATATAGTAAAGGTAAAGGTTTCCCCTTGACATTAAGTCTAGGGGGTGGTGCTCATCTTCATTTCTGAGCCAGCACTGTCCGTAGACACCTCCAAGGTCAAGTGGCCAGCATGACTACCTGGGGTGCTGTTACCTTCCTGCCGGAGCGGCACCTATTGATCTATTCACATTTGCATATTTTCAAACTGTTAGGTTGGCAGAAGCTGGAGTTAACTGCGGGAACTCACCCCGCTCCCCAAATGTGAACCACCGACTTTTTGGTCAGCAGGTTCAGCAGCTCAGTGGTTTAACCCGCTGCACCACCATGGCATTCTGTGATATACACACTTTGAAATATTATTAGAAGCAAGTGCTGGAGAAAGTAACCTAAATCTATGGTTCTGTAGAGCTTACTGGGTTGAAATTCCCATCACCTCATGCTGTTGGCTTTGCTGGCCAGGGGATGATGAGAATGCAGTCCAACAGTATCTGGAGGCTCCAAGTTTACCATTCCTGGATAAGTGAGTCACACCAGCTCTATTTCAGTTTTGAGAAAGCAGACTTTCTCAAAGCAACTAAGAAGCAACTATGCACAGCATTAAGGAAAGCCAAATCTTGAGCCATTCCAAAACCATAATTACTGTTTTTAAAACCTTCTTGCAAAACCACAGCTGTGGTTAAAAATAAGTCCTTAAAAATAGATCAGTTTCTACATTTCAAAGGGGGAAACTTTTCTGTCGTAGAAGTAGCAACTTCCACTATTGAGCTCTGGATCATTCATGGTTATTTTTAATTCATCTTTTCCTACTTTAATTCAATATATATACTATATTTATAAATTTTATATTCTGCTCTATCCCCCTGAGGGGACTCAGAGCGGATTACAGGTAAATATATGGTAATCATTCAATGCCGTTATACAATTGACACAGACAGACAGTACATAAACAGAGGCAAGCCTTTATTATTATTATTATTATTATTATTATTATTATTATTATTATCTTTATTTATACCCCGCAAAATCTCCTGAAGGACTCGATGCGACTTACAAAGGCCAAGGTCGCCAACAATACAAAATACAATACACAGTAAACTCAAAAGCAAATCATAAAACATCAAGCAAAACAGTAGAAAAGCCTTCCCTCTTTGTATCTCCGGCATCCAGCTGTTCTCGACTCAGCCATGGGGAGGTGCTGTTGTTTCATTTTCTACGCCAAGGAGCTGTCGTCCATGGACTGCTTTCCTGGTTGGATTTTTGCTGGCATATTTTTCAGCCCGCTTTTTACCTCCCCGCCAAAGCGGTACCTATTTATCTACCCACATTGTTGTTTTCGAACTGCTAGGTGAGCAGAAGCTGGGCTAATTGCGGGAGCTCACCCCAACCCAGGCTTGAACAGAAAATCACAGTGAATGGAGAATGAATAAGCTAGAACTCTTCTTGTTAGAAAGCCTTACTTCCAGGGATCTTTTTCAAGTGGTGAACTTCAGGATCCCAGCACTGTCAGAATTATGACTGTATACACAACACCCCTTGTTTATTTGCTGAGTTAGGAACCAGAGCACTCTCAAAAAGTGGAAATGGTTGAAAAGCAGAATGTACTTTTTATGCTTACAAATGCAAAACTGAATACAAGAGACTGCTGAGTTGACTAAGAGTAAAGAAAAACAATGTTCTGAGTCACATGAGAGGGAAAAAACAGTGCACTGACTTCAGGCAGAGGGGCAAAAAGCAGTACATGATTGAAAGCAGATGACACATCAAAAGTATGGTTCATGTTGTAATTTAGAATGATCAAAAAAGTAGTTTCATGAAAAGCGAGTTGCTAAAAAACAAGATATGCCTTTAGATTACAATAAAACCCTGAAGTGTCAACACTCAGAAAAACAGGATTGGGGGGGGGGGGGKGTTGTGTTTCAGTTACTGTATATACTCGGGTATAAGCCAACCTGAATATAAGCTGAGGCACCTAGTTTTACTACAAAAAAACTGGGAAAACGTATTGACTCGAGCATAACCCGAGGGTGGGAAATGCAGTGGCTACTGGTAAATTTCAAAATAAAAATAGATACCAATAAAATTACATTAATTGAGGCATCAATAGCTTAAATGTTTTTGAATATTTACATAAAACTGTAATTAAAGATAAGACTGTCCAACTCTGATCAAACCATTTTTCTATCCTTCTTCAATGTAAATGTGCTTACGTATCCTTCCAATAATAATAGAGAGTAAAATAATAAATGTAATAAAAATAATAATAGCAGAGTAAAATAATGGAAATGTAATAATAACAGTAGTAATAATAATAGAATAAAATAATACATGTAATAATAACAATAATAATAGAGTAAAATAATAAATGTAATAAAATTAATAATAAAGAGTAGAATAATAAATATAATAATAACAATAATAGAGTAAAATAATAATTGGAATAATAACAATAATAGAATAATAATGGAATAATAATAGAAAAATAATAAATGTAATAAAATTAATAATTGAGTAAAATAATGTAAATGTAATAATAATAATAATAATAATAATAATAATAATAAATAGAGAAAAATAATAAATGTAATAAAAATAATACTACAGTGTAAAATAATAAATAACCTTTATTTGAGTATAAGTTGAGGGGAGCTTTTTCAGCCTAAAACAGGGGCTGAAAAACTAGGCTTATACTTGAGTATATACAGTATTCACAGTATTCACAAATTCAGATGAATCATGAATTCGATCACTGATCTGTTATATCCCAATACATGCATATGGTCAGTCAAAAACTCAGAATTCAAAGAAAAAGCCAGTGGAGGTGGAACTTAATAGGTTTATCCATTATGTATATGCTTTTGCTTCTACGGGGCTCCAAGTAACATGCCAATAGTTTCCTAAATCTCCCAGCTGGATTGAAACTTGCTTAGTGCCACTCAGTGTGAATGCAGACTATAGACTACTGATTGTTCACTAGCTCCTCCCTCCTTTAAAGACAGAAGGTTGCTTTTTCAGAATTTTATCATTTATCCATCTAGCTCAATATTGTATTTGCTGACCAGCAGAAACTTGCCAGGGTTGAACAAGGATCTTCTGCTGCCCTGCTTGAAGGTGCCTGGGCAAAGTTAGACATTTTGCACGCTAAACATGCACTCTTCCACAGAGCCTAGAACTGGACAATCTGGATAATATTCCAGAGGTCAAAAACCATGTAAAATAAACCTTTTCCATAGAAGTACATATCCCAAAGTCCATAAGGGCAGGGACACTTATGTTCCAGATGTAAAGGAGGAATTGTGTCTCCAGAACTTGCTCTCCAGTGATCAATTGTAGCTGCCTGCTACAGGTCAAAGAAAGAGAAGGCAGTGGCAGGACAAGCAACTGGGTGTTTGCAGGTTAGGAATTTGGAAATCCCATTTTTCCCTTGATGCGAAGAACATTTGTCAGGAAGTTCTCTCTTCAAATGTTGCTTGGCTTCCTTCTATTTAGCTTAAGAGCAATTTATGGAGTGGTCAGAGGTTGGATAGAAATTGAATATCTTGATGGATATCTATGATGGAATGTCTGAAGGATGGCTATCAATAGGGTGTCATTTGTTCTAGAGCTTTAGGGCAATAGCTGAGGCATTCAAGGGAGTGGGAGTAAGATAGCTAGAATAGAACAAGTTCATCTGCTCCACTTGGGAGTAAATACAGGCAACAGAGAAACACCACTCCCAAAGTTGGTTGTTCAAACATATTTTAGTTGACCCAAATGAACATCTCTGAGGACTTTGCTATGGCTAACTGTACTCGATGAAAGAGTCATCTTCTTTTTGAAGGTTTGAATGCATTGGTGGAGGACATTGGCAAGGCTCTTGTACATGTTCATGGCGCTCACTATAGCTTGTAATGGCATTGGAAGGAGGGCTATTGGTGTCTCCTAAGTAGTGGGAGCTGTAGATGTTTGTAAAGGCAGGAGTTTGTTTGTGTAAGTGGACACCCCAACCACACACACATATACAGATTTTCACTTTTATTATGTGTATAGATATATTTTATTTTATTTACTTTGTTTTATATATTGCACACTTTCCCTCGTAGAGGGATTCAGAGTGGCTAAAAATCGGCAACAATTCGTACAAATATTTACTCTGTGAGGTTTAACAACATTTTCTCTATGGCTTTAAATGCCACACACTGATTTAACTTGGCCTGGAAACATAGTCCATTGCTCATTAGTTGAACATTAGCCAGTATTTTTGTGCCACTTCACACAGTAGGTCTTCATAGGCTTTTGAACACACTGGAAGACTGCTATCAACTTTGATCCTTGTTCTCAGAGATTCTCTCTTCTTCTAGTACTTGTTCAGCATCTGGGTTCAAAACAGGGAGGCGGTCTCCACACTGACTATTCCGGGCACAACGGTAAAGATCCCTAAGGGAAAAGGTGACAAGGTGAAGATCCTTGCATTCCATTCATAAAATTAGTCATTACTCCAAATGACTCAACCATTGAGAGAAGGGATGGGGAATCTGTCAATTTCAGATGTTTTGGACCACCTTTCTCACAATCCCTTATTGCTGACTCCAGTGTTTGGGAAACAGCTGGAGAACCAAAAGTGCTCCATCTCTGGCCCAGAATCAGTGTTTCCCTCACTCTGCCAACCCTTTGAATGGAAGAGTTCCATACCTGCCATGTTTCTGAGCAGTAATAACTGCATGTTGTAGACTGCCATCAGGACAGCACAGGCGGACGTGGATGTGGCGAGGCCGGCAAAGGACGGGTTGGGTGATCCGAGGCCAGGGCTCCTCCATTTCCCCTGCTCCACGGCGCAGGATTAGGAAAGAAAACCTCTCCTCCTTGTGTGCTGGGTTCTAGAAAGACACACAGAAGGGAGAAAGAAAGAAAAACAGATTTAGTAAAAAGTACCGTCATGTTTTCCAACTATCCTCCATACATTTCCTACCTCAGCTCCTGAAGCCATTTCAAATGAGCCTACATTAACCAAGAGTGGGTTAACTTTTGGCATTTGAACTCCATGACTATCTATGTCAGTGTTTCTCAACCTGGGGGTCGAGACCCTTAGGGGGGTTGTGGGGGGGGGGGGGGGGGGGGGGGGTGTCAGAGGGATCGCCAAAGACCACCAGAAAAGACAGTGTTTTCTATTGGTCGTGGGGGTTCTGTGTGGGAAGTTTGGCCCAATTATATCGTTGGTGGGGTCCAGAATGCTCTTTGATTGTACAACCAAAGAGCAGTCTGGACCCCACCAATGATAGAATTGGGCCAAACTTCCTTTTATCCTGTGTTTGGCATTCTTGAGGCTTCTGGGTCTTGACAGAATACTTCTGATGATCTTTGGTGACCCCTCTGACACGTCCCTTGTGACCCCCTCCCAGGGTTCCCAACCCCCAGGTTGAGAAACACTGATGTAATGCAAGTAGATTAATAGGTACTGCTTCAGTGGGGAGGTAAAAGGGTGCCCCATGCAGACATGCTGGCAACACGATCAGAGAAATCTATGGAGCACCTCTCCATGATTTGATTATCATGATTTGATAATCATAAGTTGATTTTCGTCTCCAGACATCAGAGATAGAAAGGGAAGGCCTTTACATCTGTTGTCTATTGTATGTCGTTGTTTGCTGTGTAAAAAGGCACTGAATATTTGCCTTATACGTGTAAAAACTGTAATTTTCTCTGAGGCCCTCCAAGAGATAAAGCAAAATATAAATAAAGTGTATAATAAATAAAATGTATTAACTCCCATCAGTTCCAGTAACAAAGTCTAACGATGAGGAATACAGGAGTGGGAGTTCATTATCTGAAGGGCCACCTAAAATAACATGACACGTGAGATTCAGCCTGTGGGGCTTGAGTTTGACACCTATGTCCTAGATGAGAAATGTGGGGCTGGAAAGGTGTGTAGTAGCAAGTTGTTGCCGTCTTATTTATCAATTATGGCACATTCAGCTTCTGTCTCTTAGTGGAGCAGTGGAGCAGCTAAGGAACATGGTCACAAAAGTCTCTGCTTTCTAATATATTTACTCATAACTGCTGTGGGTTGACTTTGGGCTGTCCAGCATGTTGCCCAATGACTCTGGACCCACTTAAGTATGAAATAATAGAAAAATAGAATTTTTGGAGGAGAGAAATAAAACTATCATCAGCTCTTAAAGAGAAACAAGCTGCTGCATCAGGCTTTGCCCCTCTATAAATGTCATCCCACAGTCATTTCACTTGACTGAGTCATAAAACACTTAGAACACATGCATCTATTTTATTGTTTTCCTTTCTCTTCCCCATCTGCTTTCCATTTTCTGCGCTGCCTTTTTAGATGCACGTTGTAAATCAGCAACTGACTTGTCATTTTTAGCTGATGTGTAAACTTCTGTAATATAAATACAAAGACAAAGACAAATAGTAATGATTCTTCATAATTTAACATATAATACTAATTTGGTGCAGTGGGTTAAACCACTAAGCTGTAGAACTTGCTGACCAGAAGGCTGGTGGTTCGATTCCACAGGATGGGGTGAGCTCCCACTGTTAGTCCCAGCTCCTGCCAACCTAGCAGTTTGAAAATATGCGAATGTGAGTAGATCAATAGGCACTGCTTCAGTGGGAAGGTAACGGCGCTCTATGCAGTCATGCCAGCCACATGACTTTGGAAGCATTTACGGACAATGCTGGCTCTTCGGCTTAGAAATGGAGATAAGCACCATCCCCGAGTCGGACTTGACTAGACTTAATGTCAAGGGAAACCTTCACCTTTACTAACTAATTCCTATATCTAACCAAAATAGACCTATGGAGTCAATGGGAACTTAATCAACATTTATATAACTTCCATTGAATCAGTGAAGATAGGACTCACACACGGATTTAGGATGAAGTATTTTTGTGACTGAAACTAAGCCATCTTTGTGGTTTTCCTTTAACTTTTTAACACAGCAAGGAAGACAAGGAAGGGAGACTCGCTTGCCTCATCCTGCCAAGAGAATGTATATCTCCTGCTCTCAACCACTATGCCACCAAAGCTGCCTACCCTGAACACACAAAGATTTAATTTAACCTCCAGAATAATTCAGGTTCTTTCCAAAGCCAAGCAGGACACTTACCCAACTGAAAGGCAATGCGTAATATCCCTGGGTGAAGTTACATGGCAGAACACGGTCACCGGACAAAAGAGGGCAGGGCAAATGGTGCGGACACTAAGGAAACAATGAAGTACAATGTCAGCACGACAATGTAGTGAGAACCTCCTGATCCTTAGGACAAAGCCTTCTTCAGAAAAAAGAAATCTCATCTACCATACACACCATGCACCCAAAAGTCTTGGCAGAAATATTAAAAATTAACTAGGTATTTTTAATTACAAAAATGTGAGTCAAGCACTGAAAGGGTTAAATGGATGCAATGGCTCAGCAAAAGCTGTAGTTCTATATATGTAGGTGTGCCTGTAAATTAGTAAAAGTTAGTCTGAGGTAAACCTCAGTAGGAGAAAGGTCTCAGTCTGTGAGAGAAGCCTCTGTGTGAGATAGGCCTTAGTCTATGAGAAGGCCGAGTGTGAGGTAGGTCTCGATTTGAGAAGGCCTTGTGTGTGATGCTCCAGTGTGAAGGTTGAATTTATTTGTGTTATGGAAACCTTGTTCTTGTAAACAGTGCAACCATATTATTTTGCTGTAAAGAAAAGCCTCCTATGGAAGATATAACATTGGTCTGTGTGTTTTTGTTCTTTTTATCACTTAGGACTAATGGTGCTGGGTAACGTTGCTGCTAATAAGTTACTCTGCTGTACATTTATGAGGAGTCTCTTTTGTTAATAAGCCCACTCGCCAACAAGTCTCTGCATCACTTTTGCTCCCAAGTCATTATTACATTGGAAACAAAATGGTATGGGTTCACATCCAACAAATGTGGTCCAATCAACAAAGTTCTGTGCCAGAATACATCTTTAATTTAACAATTCCAGAATTGCTCAAGCTCCTATTATAAACAAAGTTCTGGCCATAAATCAGGAATATAAACCATGTAAGTACTATTCTAACATGTTTCCACATTGGCCAATCACTTGTTTATGAGTGGCCAGCCAGTTGGACATGAGTGAAACTTAATCCTGCACTTAATCTATTTTTGGCTTTTCTTGCAGTTCTTACCGGAGCAAAAACATGTGGTTCTCGGGGATCATGAACTACTTTGTCTGTGCCCTGCATGAGATGAAAAACAGAAAAATACAAGTCATTACAACAGCCCTCCACATTTTTTTCCAGAATTTTTCTATCCGCCCACATACTCTCCCACCCACACAGAGACCTTTGGGCAAGATGCTGCAATGTATAAGAAGGGAATGAGGAACTGAAAATAAAAAGTCTATTGGTTCTTTAATTAGGACTGTTGCACAGAAAGCTTCTTCCTCCCCACATCACCTTTGCCTATTTATTTATTTAAAAACATGTATATTCCGCCCTTCTCACCCTGAAGGGGACTCAGGATGGAGCACAGCATATACACGGCAAACATTCAATGCCAGGACATAGATTCACATACAATACATAAACATTAAAAAACATCTATCAAAATATTAAAATACACAATTTAAAACTGTCCTAGTCATCCTACATTAAGATGGAGAAAAAAATGTTCTCTCATTACAGTTCTCCTTTTTCAATTAAATATTTTTCTAATAATTTAGGCAATTTAAAAGTTTAGAGAAGTGACAATGAGAAGAAGTAGACTTTGGGGTAAAATGTCACCTGTTTGTAAATTTGCTTATCCTGCCTTTCTAAACAAATATTTATGAAACCCAGGATTTTATGCATTCATTTTTACTGCTGTCATAATTTTATACACCGTATATATTATTTTCAGCAAGTCACAACTATATCCAGGTATCTCACTTTGAGTATAACATCTCGGGCCTCCATGAGGATTTGATGACCTTCCTTGGTACCGTTTTCAACCAGAACCTAGAAAAGATAGACAAGGGATGAACAATATGTGGCGCCTAGAAGTTACTTCTTACAAAAGAGAGAGGGCTTTGGAAACATGTGAACTCCAAGAGGAATTGACTATAATGAATTATCATTACTACAGCACCATCTGCATAGTGTTTAGAATCAAAGAGTTGGAAGATACCTCATGGGCCACCCAGTCCAACCCCCTGCCAAGAAACAGGAAAATTGCATTCAAACCAACCCAGACAGATGGCCATCCAGTCTCTGTTTAAAAGTCTCCAAAGAAGGAGACTCCACCACACTCCAGGGCAGAGAGTTCCACTGCTGAACAGCTCTCACAGTTAGGAAGTTCTTCCTGATGTTCAGGTGGAATCTCCTTTTCTGTTGTTTGAAGCCAATGTTCTGCGTCCTAGTCTCCAGGGCAGCAGAAAACAAGCTTGCTCCCTCCTCCCTGTGACTTCCCCTCACATATTGATACATGGCCCTCATCATGTCTCCTTTCAACCTTCTCTTCTGCAGGCTAAACATGCCCAGCTCTCTAAGCCGCTCTCATAGGGCTTGTTCTCCAGACTCTTGATCATTTTTGTCACCCTCCTCTGGACACATTCCTGCTTGTCAACATCTCCCTTCGATTGCGGTGAATTGGACACAAGTGTGATTCCAGGTGTGGTCTAACCATGGCGGAATTGAGGGGTAGCATGACTTCCCTGGATCTAGGCACTAGACTCCTATTTAAGCAGGCCAACATCCCATTGGCTTTTTTAGCCGCCGCATGACCTTGTTGGCTCATGTTTAACTTGTCGTCCATGAGGTCTCCAAGATCTTTTTCACACATACCACTATCGAGCCAGATATTGTCCCCATTCTGTATCTTTGCATTTCCTTTTTTTTTCTGCCTAAGTGGAGTATCTTGCATTTGTCCTTGTTGAACTTCATTTTGTTAGTTTTGGTCCATCATCTCTCTAATCTGTTAAGATTGTTTTGAATTTTGCTCCTGTCTTCTGGAGTACTGGCTATCCCTCCAAATTTGGTGTCATCTGCAAACTTGATGATCATGCCTTCTAACCCTTCATTTAAGCCAATAATAAAGATTCTGAATAGGACTGGGCCCAGGATGGAACACTGCTTATGGCACTCCACTGTCACTTCTTTCCAGGATGAAGAGGAAGCATTGGGGAGAATCACCCTCTGGATTTGTTCCCTTAACCAATGACAGATCCACCTAACAGTAGTTTTGCCTATCTCACATTGGATTAGTTTCCTTGCCAGAAGGTCATGGGGGACCTTGTCAAAGGAAGGCCTTACTGAAATCTAGATATGCTCCATCCACGGCGTTCCCTGCATCTACCCACCTTGTAACTCTATAAAAAAAGGAGATCAGATTAGTCTGGTATGACTTGTTTGTGATAAATCTGTGTTGGCTATTAGCAATGATCGCCTTCGTTTCTAAGTGTTTGCAGACCACTTCCATCGATATCTTGCCTGGTATTGATGTTTATGGAGTATAGGAAGATCCGTCTGGAAGAACCTTATAGTCTCGTACCCAACAAAGGAGAAATTGATAGCATGAAGAAAGATGTGAACAGGGAAGCAATATGTAGTTGTTTCATTACCTATCTGCAGTCCTGGCACCAAGTAATGTGGATCATGGTTATTAGGAAACAAAGTCACAAGCAGAGCAAATCCTTGCTTTGCATCCCAAGAACCTGACAGTGCAGTAGTGGTGGGGAAAGAAATAGCATATCACCAAATCAGAGTAGATACATCACTTACGAGAAAGCCATCTGTCTTCCTCCAAAGAGTCCGCACTGTCTCCACTCTCTCAGAATAACCGGGAAGTTCATTAAGAGAGTAAGCAGATACCACAAGATCAAATTTCACCTGCAGTGGAACAGAAAAAAAAACATGCATGTAGCCACATAGTTTTAAATTCCAAATCACGGAGTCCTTTAAGACTGTTGATCTGAAACTGGAGAGACCAAGTTCTGATGATCGGAAATCCCACTCTCTCAGACCATTTTACTTCAATTGTAAAGATCTGATTGGGGGGGGGGGGGGGGGGGGGGGGGGGGGGGGAGAGAGAGAGAGAGAGAAAGGGGCCCATGTATATGACCCTCAGGTTTTTGGGAAAAAAGGAACAACGATCACGTATCATATTGTTGTTGAAGGCTTTCATAGCCGGGATCACTGGGTTGTTGTGAGTTTTCCAGGCTGCATAGCCATGTTCCAGAAGCATTCTCTCCTGACGTTTCGCTCACATCTATGGCAGGCATCCTCAGAGGTTGTGAGATCTTTTGGAAAAGACCTCACAACCTGTTCCAACAGACCTCACAACCTCTGAGGATGCCTGCCATAGATGTGGGCGAAACATCAGGAGAACATGCTTCTAGAACATGGATAAACAGCCCAGAAAACTCACAACAACCCATTTATCAGATTTGTGAAAAGAATCTGTTTATTGTTCTGCCCACATCACCTACATCTCACCAAAACCAGAATACTTTTACACTTATGTTAAAAATCTGTATTTCTTTAGATCTAAAACACATTTTTCCTATATTAACATATCTAAAAAAGAAGTGCATCCTAGAATCAGCCGTGCATCTTATGTATTTTTGTTGTTGTTGGTACTGAAATTAGGGTGGGTCTTACAATTGATGGCATCTTACAAGTGAAGAAATACGGTATTCATTGGTACCCCATTCAGTAGTTTTGGGATCATAAGGGGGAATTACAATCTCAAAACCACTAGAGGTTCCTGTTTATAGTCATTAATGACCTAAAGTGAACTCAAAAAGCTCTTCAGTCTAATTTAGTGGTTCTCAACCCCAGATGTTTTGGCTTTCAACTCCCAGAAATACTAACAGCTGGTAAATTGGCTGGGATTTATGGGAGTTGTGGACCCACAGGTTGAGCACCACAGTTCTAATTGCACCCCAACCAAAATATGAAGATTGGGTTACTGGGAAATGAGGTCTGTAGTGCTCCAAACACTCCCCATTGGGAGTGGTCCAAACTTGCTGACTTTAATTATCCCATTCACCCAACCTGTGTATTGTAATTAACCAGGGTGGGTCTTTTTTCTCTCTTAACACACAAAGCCAGTAGTGATACCATTAAAACTTAGCCAGTTCCTTACATATACTGTAATAAGAGGTGCCCTTTGGTTGAGCCATGGCCTGGCTTTAAAAAGTAGGTTTTTTAGCAGTGGCATCACGAAACATAACTGTGACAAGGGGTTGTTACATTTGTTGATGCAAGTATGTAAATAATTACTTTAACGAACACCTTAAATGTGGACCACCTTCAGCCATGAAGGGACTTGGGATGCAACAATTCAGCTATGTGAATTGAAATAACCTTGTGGGGCTCCAGAAAAGCACATTAGGAGAAAGGCTGCCATTCCAATATCCGGTACAATTAACCACTGTCATCTCAGGTACTTGAATCATGACTAACAAGGCCTTTTGGAACCCCAGGCTCTTCTAAACAGAACCGTCATTGAGGAACTGTCATTTTTACCTTTGGCGAAACAGGGAGGAACTGCCGGAAATAGACCCCAGGAAAGCAGGGGTTTTGGTTCTTGGACAAACCTGGGAGAGGAGAAAAACAAAAGAGGTACAATTGTAGAGAAGAAGGAAATGGCTTGTGAGAATTTGTATAAAATGGACAATTCTGATGAAACTGGAGCTTCAAGGTGGTTTCTTAAAAGTTTGTGTTTTGGGGAAGGAAGACCTACGCATTCCCTACTTCCCTACTATGCAGTGTACAACTCTCATTATGTCTGCGGAGCCCAGATCATGGAGCCAGAAGCAATTTTGGACGAAGTGAACATGGGTAGAAATGTACCAAAACTAACTTCAAAATAAAAACTTATCCACTGTCTGACTTGTTGCATATTTACTTTCAAAGGAATTTAATAAATGTTCTTGTTCAGAAATTTTAGTGCAAAATATATTTTGTTTCATCAACCTAAGTAGCCTTATGATTCACCTGGAAGCAATATATTGCTTTGTGCTACTATTTACTGCAGTACATTTATTATTATTAATTAAAATAACTTGACATTGATGAAGAAGGTAGACTTGGGAAAGTAAGAAAACTGAGAAGTCAAAGGTTTGGCATGCTCAATCCATAGCTCCAGCTCTCACCTTTCATTAGCTTCTCAGCCAAGTCCAACATGGCAGCTGAACTGTCGATGTTCATGTATTCATTGATCATCTCACCCCAAATGCTATGAGCCGCCCTGCACAGTGAAGGAAGAAGAAAGGTTACACATCTACCTACTGCATCTGGCATAGTGGAATTGCTGGGCCTCCCAGTTATTGTTGGAGATAGCAACCTTCTCAAGCCTCCTCTATTCGATGTTTGTCTGTTTATAATGTGTCATTTTATTTCCTGAAGTGTATGTCTTCTTTGGTTTGCAGTTTCCTTCACTCTATATACTTGAGGCAGTGAGAGGGGCTGAAAATCACGTGACTGTTTGGAATGCATTTTAAACATGAAGACAGTTGAGGAATGACAGTTATGGCTTGAGTTAGTTAGAATACAGAAGTCAGTGTTAGTAGAAGTTAGATGACAGTTAAGCCTTGAGTCAGCTTGAGTACAGAAGTCTGTTTTTCAGTCAGATGTCCGTGTTAGAAGTTAGAAAACTGTTGATGCTTGAATCCTTTGAAAGTAGACTCTTATGAAAGAGAACTGCACAGAGAAATATAGTTTTTGAAGAGACTATTAAAGACAATAAGTGAAAGATACACAGCCCTGTGTATCTTTGTGAGCTCCCGGCGAATAACTTGCTCCTATTTTTTATCTCATTATAGTTTTTAACATTTTATCCTGTACATGTGGCCCACCCACTGTTTACTATGTCTGTGTTTTTTGTTTATTGTAATGCTATTTTGTTATTGAATATTTATGTAATTTTGATGATGTTGCTTGTTGTTTATGTTTTGGTTTTATCTTGATGTAATATGTTGTTTGGGGTTGGCCTCATGTAAGCCGCTCCAAGTCCCCATCGGGGAGATAGTGGTGGGGTATAAATAAAGATTATTATTATTATTATTATTATTATTATTATTATTATTATTTTAAAGTTTAACCTGAAAAGAAATGTGACTGTATATTTAAATACATGAAATTATGAGCAAAACAAACTTGTTACTTTAAAAGAAGTCTACTTGAATCTTTGTCTGATGAGCATTGAACAGAAACAAGATATCTATGTGCCAAGCTAACATCCATTACTCAATAAACTTAACTTATGGAATACCTCCATAACTCTGCTACCCGATAAGTTGTGATTCCAACAGGTCATAATCCCCAATAGTTTGTGACCCTAACAGGTCATCATCCTTATCCCAGTAGGTTTTGATCATAACAGGTCATAATCACTGTCCCATTAGTTATTCTTTCTCCCTCCCTGCTTCTCTCAAAGAAATGTCTTCTCACTGCTGCAGAATCAATGTCACATTAGTATCACACTATTTCTCACCAGCTGACAGTGCCAGTCCCTGAGCCAAAATCCAACAGGGTGTGGGGCTGAAAATCTGGGACTCTCTTCTGGATCTGGAGGGGTCAAAATGGAGAAGAAAGCCTAGCATCAGCTTCTGGGGTGACATGACCAATGTCAAACATTTAGTGGCTGAGCCAGGTTTGGAAATTCATAAGGAACCATATCACAGAAAAACTGAGATGCAGAATACCTTATAAGAAGCAGGCTCTTCTTGACATCTAAAAAAGCACATCCTTCTAAATACGAGGTGTTACTAAAGCCTAATCATAGTTAAAGGCTGTGGCAATAACATGTAACATTAGGGAACCTGCCGTCACCCACATATTGCTGGATTGCAAATTTTTATCAATGGTGTCATCTGCAGTATTTTATTAATATCTAGAGCAGTGGTTCTCAACCTGGGGTGACCAGATGTTTTTGGCCTTCAACTCCCAGAAATCCTAACAGCTTGTAAACTGGCTGAGATTTCTGGGAGTTGTAGGCCAAAAACATCTGTTGCCAAATTTTCTGGGACTCCAACACTGATCTAAAGCAGTGGTTCTCAACCTGTGGGTCCCCAGGTGTTTTGGCCTACAACTCCCAGAAATCCCAGCCAGTTTACCAGCTATTAGGATTTCTGGGAGTTGAAAGCCAAAACACCTGGGGACCCACAGGTTGAGAACCACTGATCTAGAGGACCAAGAATTCTCTGCCATAGGTTCACAAAATCTAACAACCCATCCACAGTGGTGCAACACCAAGTATAAATCCCACTATTGCACAGTTCCAATGGAATGGATATTAACATTTATAATAATGCTGGTTTAGAGACAAGATTGTAATAAGGACAGTTGAGATAATATCGCCAAGCAGTTTGAACATTTGGAAAACAATATATTGATACCAAAATCTTAATACTTTCCAAAAGGCCACCAAGAAAACTATGGTATAGTATGAGGCATAGAATCACAGCATTGGAAGATTTCCAACATCAAGTCTAACCGCTTGCATGCAGGAATACACAAGCAAAGCAGTCTCAACAAATGATAATCCAGTCTGTTTAAAAAATTTCCAAGGAATGGGTCTCCATCACACTTTGAGACAGCTTATTCCAGAATTCAATAGCTCTTACCACCAGGACATTTTTCTTAATGTTTAAAATCTCTTGTTTTTTAATATGTGTACACCATACAGGCCCAGGCCTGGACAGTCTAAGCTTTTACCAAGTACACTTCAAGTCCTTAACATATAAGCACACTAAAACAGCAACTCACCTCATGTAAAGCTCGGTACACTGCAGCAAACACCCCATCCATTCGAGCTGCCATGTACAGAAAGCTGAGCTCTTCAGTGTAGCTTGGAAGGACAAAGCAGAGACAGTCAGTTGCAGGGATCTGTTTGTGTGTGATAGCAAAGCCTGGAATATGCCATATCATAAAGGGCTAGAAAAAACTCTCCCAATTGATGAATATATGCTAGTTGTGTTATAAGGGGCAGTATCAATCTCTCTTATCTCTTTTTTGATAGGATTACAACCTTGGTAGATGCAGGGAACGCTGTGGATGTAGCATATCTTGATTTCAGTAAGGCCTTTGACAAGGTCCCCCATGATCGTCTTTCAAACAAACTAGTAAAATGTGGGCTAGACAATACCACTGTGAGGTGGATTTGGTTAAGTGACTGAACTCAAAGGGTGATCACCAATGGTTCCTCTTCATTCTGGAAAGAAGTGACTAGTGGAGTGCAGCAGGGTTTGGTCCTGAACCCAGTTCTGTTCATCATCTTTATTCATGACTTAGATGAAGGTTTAGAGTTATAAATTATCAATTTATTTAAATGAAGGTCAATAGTAGTAGTTCTCAACCTGAGGGTCCCCATGGGTTTGGCCTACAACTCCCAGAGATCCCAGCCAATTGCTTGCTTAGGATTTCTGGGAGTTGAAGACCAAAAACATCTGGGGACCTACAGGTTAGAAACCACTGGTCTAAAGAGTCCAAAATTTTACATTCCCTGGTTGGTTCTTAGAATTCTGGAATTTTGCACAACTATTTCATGTTTCCAGTGTTGGGTAATTCAGGTCATATGATCAAAGACCACACAATTATGGCAGATCAGTTAATTAGAGAATCCTAGAGTTTGAAGAGACTTACACACAATCCAGTCCAATCCTCTGCCATGAAAACACAATCAAAGCCTTGCTTATTTATTTAGCGTGTCAGAAGTGAGTTGAGGGTGCAGTTAATATGCATTTAAAAACACAAACAAAGTTCAAAAACCTTGGCATTATGCTAAATGTCTTTTGATCAGAAGCTGGCCACTTGGAGTGCCTCTGACAGTTGGTCATCTAGTGTCTCTTTAACCATCTCCAGAAAAGGAGATTCCACCACTCTCTCAGACAGCATAATCCACTATGAAATGGGTTACATGATATACACACATACATGTTATACATAAAATGACAGAAGAGGTATCTGTATGAAATGAAGGACTTTGCAGACTAATCTGCATTCAATGAGCTGAGTGAGTGCATGCTGTATGTCAGGGGTCCTCAAACTTTTCAAAGAGAGGGCCAGGTCACAGTCCCTCAAACTGTTGGAGGGCCAGATTATAATTTGAAAAAAGCATGAATGAATTCCTATGCACACTGCACATATCTTATTGTCGTGCAAAAAACACTTTAAAACAATACAATAATTAAAATTAAGAACAATTTTAAGAAATATAAACTTATTAGTATTTCAGTGGGAAGCGTGGGCCTGCTTTTGGGTGATGAGATAGGATTGTTGTTGTTGCTGTGTGCTTTCAAGTCATTTCAGACTTAGGTTGACCCTGAGCGAGGGCCGGGTAAATTACCTTGGGGGGGCCGCATTTAGCCCTCGGGCCTTAGTTTTAGGACCCCTGCTGTATGTGAAACAAATCTTCACTGGGAATCATGCTTTTTTTTTTCTTTTCTCTTCTTTTATTTTTAAGAACAGGGAACTTACTCCAGTTTCTCCCAGTGGTAAGTTGTCTTACGGATGATATTCATGACCTTTTTCTGCAACTTCTTCTCATCCACTTCACTCAATGAGTCCAAAGCGTCTGACAGAGACAGAAAATGATGATGATGACATTTATATGCTGCTTCTCCTCTCTTAAAACAAACTCAAAGTGGCTAACAATATGAAAACAAATATAAAATACAATTTAAAACTTAAAGCATATAAACCCTAAAATAGAATTAAATACAGGACTATTAAAAATAAATGATTAAAACCATGATACATTCTTTTATCTGCCACGCCTTACTCCCTTCTTCTGCAAGGAAGGCACGTTTAACACGCATGATAACTCTCATTGTACAATTACACTTCTCACTATAATTTACAGAATTTACATGCTTTCAGAATGCAATCAGCTCAGTTATGAAGTAAGAGCTTAATTGCTGAGTGTGGGATTTAAACCCAGACTGATTCTAATCCAGTGCTCTAACCTACTACTTAAACTGTGGGTCCCAACACCAAAGGGGGATCTCACTTATCCAACCTTCGCTCATCCAGCATTCTGTATTATCCAACGCAGTCTGCCTCCCGCCCGGATCCACAGCTGTTTCAATACATTGCAATGTTTTGTAAATTTGTAAATATAGTAATTACTACATAGCATTACTGTGTATGGAACTACTTTTTTTGTCGATTTGTTGTAAAACATCATGTATTGGTGCTTAATTTGTAAAATCATAACATAATTTGATTTTTAATAGGTTTTCCTTAATCCCTCCTTATTATCCAACATTTTTGCTTACGTTCTACCAACCCGTTTGTGTTGGATAAGCGAGACTTTACTGCATAGTAAAGGAAAAATACAATGTACTAAGGAAAGTAAGAAGGAAAATGTTACAAAAATGGTACAGGACTCCTGCACAACTTTCACGGTTTTTACCAGGGAAAAGACAGATGTTGGCATGGCTGTAGACAAAGAGGTGTCTTTAATCACATGATATGGGAATGTGACAGATTACAGGTCTATTGGAGAATGATTGAAGGAGAAATTAATAGAATGTTAAATCTTCAAATAATAATAACCAATAGAAATGTATTACATGCAAGGATACCAGGCGTGCATAATGTGCAAAAGGAAAGAGTGGTTAACAAACTAATGGTGTGTGCGCAACTTGTTTTAGTGAGGAAATGGGTTGGAAAGGTAAAACAAACTGGACTCTAACGAATTGGTATAACTATATAGTAAATATGCTAAATGTGGAAATAACAAATTGTAAATTGAACAATATAGACAAAATAAAAAATGTTATAATAATTAAGAACATGTGGGATCGTGGTAAGAAAACAAAACTGAGAGAAATTCACCCTAAGAGCCAAAACCATGCCAGGAACGGTGTTGTTGAAGGAACCCCATGCCCACCACAAGCCCCTGGGCGCCGCCATGTTGGAAAGGTCTCGTTTTCCCCCTTGTGCAGGCGCAAAAACGCCCTCAGGCCCTCCCTAACCACCATCTGGGAAAGGAAGGAAGCAATGTATTATGATGTGGAGTGGAAAAACTGAGACTAAGACTGATATTTCAAATGTAATTTCTGTAGTTTACTGTACAAACTGTATGTCCAAGGGGAAGGGCTGACCGCATCTCGGCCTACGAGCCCACGAGGACTTTGAGATCGTCTGGGGAGGCCCTTCTCTCGATCCCACCTGCCTCACAGGCACGCCTGGTGGGGACGAGGGATAGGGCCTTCTCAGTGGTGGCCCCCCGGCTGTGGAACACCCTCCCTGTAGACATCAGACAGGCGCCCTCCCTTATGGCATTCCGTAAGAGGTTAAAGATGTGGTTCTTTGAGAAGGCGTTTGACTAGTGCTTTAACAACTATCAATTGGCAATGACGATTGGAACGGAACATGGATAACGAGATCGGATTGTGATTCTATGATGAGACGTCGCGAATGATTTAGTGTACAGTAATTGTATTATTGACAGTGATGTTTTTGTTGTTTGTGATATTGCTTATATTGTAATTTGTTTTTATATGTTGTACACCGCCGTGAGTCGCCCTAGGGCTGAGAACGGCGGTCTACAAATGCAGTAATAAATAAATAAATAAATAAGGGCGGAGGGTGGGAGTGAGGTAAAACAATAAAATAAATAAATTTAAAAAACCAAAGGGAATCATTTTAGCTCAATGTTGGGGTTGTGAAAAATTTGGCAACAGTAAAGTTTACTAAACACCACCTAGACATTTGCAGAAATCTTTTAGCAGGATGCAGTAGATTCTGTAGACTCTGCAGAAAATGCTTCAGCTGTACTCCACAAAAAGGAAAATCAGCTTGTTTAGCAAGCCTTGAAAAGGTTTATCATTAGTAAATGTTTGATGTTTACATTTATTTTATATACCTATATCTCTGGGCTCATGTAAAACTTTCTCAGGTGGAAAAGGGTCACAAGTAGAAAAAATTAAGAAACTTTGCTCTAATCCAGTGGTCAGAAATCATGCAGTTATTGCAAATTCCTTGCCATTGGCTATGAGGATGCTAGTAAGCCAATTACTTACTTACTTACTTAGGCGATCCCTCGTAGCTCGAGGATGATTGTCTGGTAAGCCAATACAATGATCATGACTCTCAATATTGTTCTGGCTACACCATTTTAACTCTCCTTTGCAATAAATCCTCTTTGAACTGTTGTGGCAAAAAACGTCCCCTCTCCAGTTACCCCAGAAACACACACTTACCTTTCTGATGGATGTGGGCCATCTCCTGTCGTAGCTGCCGCTCCACCTGCTCTGCTTTCTTGCGCAGGTCCACTGTTTCCATGGGCCGCTTGCGGCTCCAGAGATAATTGTTGAGGGCCTTTGTTTGCTTTTCCATGTTGCGCATGGAGGATTCTGGGAGAAGGAATAGCAGTCAGAAGCATAATGTGCTTTCTTGCTTTCATATAATACGTATGCTATCTTCACACTATGAGCTGTTTCATATCAAGAGTGGAAAGAAGATATAATCTAATGCAAAGGTTCCCAAACTTTTTCAGTCATGGAACCCTTCAGAAATCTTTTTCCCCTCTATGGAACCCAAACTCTGTCCCTGATTTTTTATTAGGCACTAGCTGTACCCACCACGTGTTGCTGTGGCCAACCTTCCCTCTCTCTTTCTCTCCTTCTTTCCCTCCTTCCTTTGCTCCCTCTTTCCTTCCTTCCTTCCCTTTTCTTCTTTCCTTCTCTACCTCTTCCCTTCCTTCCCCCTTTTTCTTTCTCCTCTCCTTTCTCTTCCTTCCTTCTCTACCTCTTTCTTTCCTTCCTTCGCTTTTTGCTTCCATCCTTCTCTCTTTCCTTCTTTTTCTCCTTCCTTTGCTTCCTCTTTCCTTCCTTTTCTTTCCTTCTCTCCTTCCGTCTCTACCTCTTTCCTTCTTCACCCCTTTTTCTTTCCCTCCCACTTTCTCTGCTTTCTTCCTTCTCTACCTCCTTCCTTCTTTCTTTCTTTCTTTCTTTCTTTCTTTCTTTCTTTCTTGCTCTCCTTCCTCCCCCCCCCCCTCTTTACTTCCCTTTTTTCTGTATAGTCATTTAGCTTTCCAGGGTTTTAAGTCCTTTCCGCTCTTTTTTGGGGTGGGGAGGTTATGAGTGATGGTCACTCCTTGGTCTGTTAGGGGTATGGTGTCCAAATTAGGTGTCAATTCGTCCAGTGGTTTTTGAGTTATGTTAATCCCACAAATAAACATTACATTTTTATTTATATAGATTGTCAGTCCACAAAGTTCTTCCTTCTTTCATCTACAAGCAGTCCTCGAGTTACAGGTAAGATAGATTCCGTAGGTTTGTTCTTAAGGTGAATTTGTATGTACATCGGAACAGGTACATTTTATAAGGCATATATCTATACAAAAGTGAAAAATGTATATGTGTGTATGTGGTGGAGGTGTCCACTTACACAGACAGCCTCCTGCTTCCACAAACAGGCTATAGTTCCAAGTGCTGAGAAGCCTCCAAAGGCATTCCCTCAACTGACATTGCAGGTTATAGCAAGCACCATGAACACATAGCCCAAACACTACGGCCCACCACCTAAGGAATGCTTTCATTCGAAGAGAATTTCATCTTAGATTTGTTTCCTTCACCACAGACAGGCATTTCAGGTTTCCTTGTGTGGAATTTGTATGTCCCTGCCCACTGCCTATCCCATAACCCTTTCCTGTGCATACTGGCAGGTTTTGGGGGTGATTGCCCTGGGTATCTGGGAGTTTACACTTCTCAAGAGATCACTGAACCCAGCCAACGACAGATCTGGACCAAACTTGATGCACAGGACCAACATTGCCAACTGTGAATACTGGCTGGGTTTGTGGGTGATTGGCCTGGCAATCTGAGAGTTGTAGTTCACCCTTGTCCAGAGAACAGTGAACCCAGCTGATATCGGATCTGGACCAAACTTGACACACAGAACCAACATGACCAACTTTGAATCATGGCAGGGTTTGGAAAAGATTGACCCACGACTGGTCTAGAGTGGATAGATGTTAACCACCCCAAGTCCCCATGAGAAGAAAGGCAGGGTATAAATAAAGATAATAATAGTAATTCTTTAGCTACCTATAATTCCAGACAAATAGGGCATTCACTAAACACAACCCACTTGCCTCACCCCCCAGAGATTCCTATATTTTATGAGTTTTACTCACCGGATACCAGAAAGCGAGCTGCTTCCACCAACTCTGATGGAAGACTGATATTTTTGAGGTGGACAACGCCAGGGTGCTTGCGGTGTGGGAGTTTGTCCAAGAAACTTGTTGTGTTATCTACCCTGGAGACATTGGGAATGACTGTAGCCAGGCCCTGTGAGAAGACAAGCAGGAGAAAAGTTAGGCATCATATATAAATCATATACAGTTCACGAGGCAACTTCACTGTGGCCCTCCATGCATGGTCCACACTGATTGTATCATACAAATCAATTGCAATATTTATTGATTTACTGTAGTTTGCACCGCTCTATCTCAACACCGAAGGGGACTCCGAGCGGCTTCCAAACGGGCAGTAATTCAATGCTACATTAACGTAAAAATGTACAAAATTACAATATACACTGAGCATTAAAATCATGAAAATCATATAAACACACTAACATATAAATACCCGAAATCATAATCCAGAAGATTTTCCAATCACATTGCATTCACTTTGTAGCTGCATATAGCCCTGTAAAGGTTTCCCCTGACAATAAATCTAGTCCTGTCTGACTTTGTTACATCCCGGATAGATTATTGCAACGCACTCTACGTGGGGTTGCCTTTGAAGACTGTTCGGAAACTTCAATTAGTCCAGCGGGAGGCAGCCAGACTGCTCACCGGAGCGTCATACAGGGAGCATACCACCCCCTGTTATGTCAGCTCCACTGGCTGCCAATCCAGTTCCGAGCACAATTCAAAGTGCTGGTTTTGACCTACAAAACCCTATACGGTTCCGGCCCAGCGTATCTGTCCGAACGCATCTTCCTTTATGTCCCATCTCGGAGTCTGAGATCCTCTGGGGAGGCCCTGCTCTCAACCCCGCCTCTGTCACAAGTGAGATTGGCGGGGACGAGGAGCAGGGCCTTCTCAGTGGTGGCCCCTCACCTATGGAATTCACTCCCCGGGGAAATTAGATCAGCAACATCCCTCCTTTCCTTCAGAAAGAAATTAAAAACATGGATGTGGGACCAGGCATTTGGGCAATCTGGCAGATGAATAAGGGACTGTGACGATGGATAGGAATTGGACAAGGTGGAACGAAATATGGACTCTGAGTTGGCGAACACTGTGTCTGAGATTGGCTATTGATTGTGAGATATATTGTTGTTTTAATTGTTGACCATTTAATTGCTGGTTTTATATGTTATTGTATTTGTGTAGGCACCAAGATGTGCCTTTTTGTAAGCCGCCCTGAGTCCCCCCTCGGGTGTTGAGAAGGGCGAGGTAGAAGTATATGAAATAAATAAATAAATAAATTTGTGGGGTGGTGCTCATCTCTAAACTGAGGAGCCAGCATTGTCCGTAGATGCCTCCAACGTCATGGGGCCGGCATGACTGCATGGAGCGCTGTTACCTTCCTGCAGAAGGTAACCTATTGTTCTACTCACGTTCGCATGTTTTCGAACTGCTAGGTTGGCAGAAGCTGGGGCTAACAGCAGGAGCTCACTCCGCTCCCCGGATTTGAACTGCCAACCTTTCGGTCAGCAAGTTCAGAAGCTCAGTGGTTTAACACACTGTGCCACCAGGAGGCCCTGAACTACTCTCCAAATGCTTGGTTCCATAGCCAGGTTTTAACTTGCTTCCTAAAGAAGAGGAGGAAGGGGGCCAATCTAATTTCACTGGGAAGGGAGTTCCACAGCCAAAGGGCCACCACTGAGAAGGTCCTGTCCCTCATCTCCGTCAGCTACATCTGTGAGGAAGGCGGGACCGAGAGCAGGGTCTCCCCAGAAGATCTTACCACCCGGGATATTTCATAGGGGGAGATACATTCAGACAGGTAAGTTGGACCAGATCCATTTAGGGCTTGATAGGCTAAAGCCAGCACTTTGAATTTATTTATTTATTTACCATATATGTATATCGCCTTTCTCAGCCCGAAGGCGACTCAAAGTGGTTTACAGTTGGCAACAATTCGATGCCCGGATACCATCAAATACAACCCCACCCCCATTAAACATATAATATAAAAACCATACAGAGCCAATAAAAATATATAAAGCATGTATCAACAGCTTCTCCTTATTAAAATCAATGTCTAATCACATCATCCAATTGTTCCATTGTTCTGTATTGGCCTGTTACACTGCATTTGTGAATGCTTGCTCAAAAAGCTAGGTTTTGACTTTTTAACGGAATGTTAAAAGGGAGGGGGCCGATCTGATATCCCTAGAGAGGGTGTTCCACAGTCGAGGGGTCAACACTGAAAAAGACCAGTCTCTCGTTCCCACCAGACACATCTGTGAAGAAGGCGGGAGCAAGAGCAGGGACTCTCCAGATGATCTTAAAGTCCTAGATGGTTCATAAGGAGAGATACGTTCGGACAGGTAAGCTGGGCCAGAACCATTTAGGGCTTTATAGGCTAAAGAGGGAGAAAACATGGAGGCCGTGACAGACTTTGCATTTCTAGGTGCAAAGATTACTGCAGTTGCAGACTGCAGCCAGAAAATCAGAAAACGTTTACTTCTTGGGAGGAGAGCAATAACCCATTTCGATAAAATAGTGAAGAGTAGAGACATCACACTGGCAAAGAAGATCTGCAAAATAAAAGTAATGGTACTCCCCGTAGTCACCTACGGATGTCAGAGCTGGACCATAGGGAAGGCTGAGCAAAGGAAAAGAGATACTTTTGAACTATGGTGTTGGAGGAAAGTTCTGCGAGTGCTTTGGACCGCCAGAAGGTCCAACCAGTCCATACTTCAGGAAATAAAGCCTGACTGCTCATTGGAAGGAAGGACATTAGAGGCAAAGAGGAAGTACTTTGGCCACATCATGAGAAGACAGGAAAGCTTAGAGAAGACAATTATGCTGGGGAAAAGGGAAGGAAAAAGGGTGAGAGGTCAACCAAGGGCAAGATTGATGGATGGCATCCTTGAAGTGACTGGCTTGACTCAGAAGGAGCTGGGGGAGGTGACAGTCAACAAGGAGCTCTGGTGTGGGCTGGTCCATGAGGTCACGAAGAGTCGCAAGTGACTGAACGAATAAACAACAACAAAGGCTAAAGCCAGCACTGTGAATTGTGCTCAGTAACAAATTGGCAGCCAGTGGAGCTGACACAGAGGAGGGGGGTGGGTGTTGTATGCTCCCTGTATGCTGCTCCAATGAGCAGCCTGGCTGCCGCCCGCTGGACTACTTGAAGCTTCCAAACAGTCTTCAAAGGCAACCCCACATAGAGAACATTGCAGTAATCTAATCGAGATGTAACAAGAGAATGGACAACCGTGGCCAAGTCTGGCTTCTTGAGGTGGTGCACAAGTTTATGCAATTGGAGCACATTATTATTATTATTATTGACTTCATTTATATACTGCTTTTCTCAGCCCTTGGGCGACTCATGGCAGTGTCAATCCAATCCAGCCTGAGAGCGATTATGAAAGGACCAAATGGCAAAGTGACAACATGTAGGTCATGTTCACACTTTACAGCAGGCTTAGGCCAACTTGGGCCCTCCAGGTGTTTTGGACTTAAACTCCGACAATTCATAACAGCCTACCGGCTGTTAGGAATTGTGAGAGTTGAAGTCCAAAACACCTGGAGGGCCCTTCTGGCTGTTAGAAATTGTGGGAATTGAAGTCCAAAACACCTGGAGGGCCCTTCCGGCTGTTAGGAATTGTGGGAGTTGAAGTCCAAAACACCTGGAGGGCCCTTCCGGCTGTTAGGAATTGTGGGAGTTGAAGTCCAAAACACCTGGAGGGCCCTTCCGGTTGTTAGGAATTGTGGGAGTTGAAGTCCAAAACACCTGGAGGGCCCATGTTTGCCCATGCCTGCTGTACAGTTATTATTATTATTATTATTATTATTATTATTAACTTTATTTGTACCCCGCTAGCATCTCCCGAAGGACTCGATGCGGCTTACACGGGCCGAAGCCTCAAAACACAATACAATAGAAAACATAACACAACAATAAACAAAGCAAATCAAAACAATTAAGCAAAGTAACCACAATGACAAAACATCAAGACACTATTAAAAACTGGTTCGGCCAGCGCAATGGGGTACAGGGTTAAAAGTGCTGAGATGGCAGGAGGAACGTAGGATTAAAGTGCGGTGTGCAGCCACATTAGTTGTGCCAAAGTGCATCTAGGACTTGGGATGGGGATTCCTAATCTGCGAAGGCACATCGGAACAGCCAAGTTTTTAGGTTCCTTTTGAAAACTGCTAGAGTAGGGGCCTGACGGAGCTCTTTTGGAAGGGCATTCCAAAGTCGGGGGGCCGCCACAGAGAAGGCCCTGTCCCGCGTCCCCACCAAGCGCACTTGCGACGCAGGTGGGATCACGAGCAGGGCCTCCCCAGATGACCGGAGCGAGCGTGTGGGTTCGTAGATGGAGATGCGGTCACGCAGGTAGGGTGGTCCCAAACCGTTTAGGGCTTTGTAGGTGAGCACCTGGACCTTGAATTGGGCTCGGAAAATAAATGGCAGCCAGTGGAGCTCCTTAAACAGAGGGGTATTATCACTCTATGATCCCACTTTAGTTGCCATGGTGACACCTTAAAGCAGTGGTTCTCAATCTTCCTAATGCTGCGACCCCTTAGTACAGTTCCTCATGTTGTGGTGACCCCCAACCATAACATTATTTTCGTTGCTACATTATAACTGTCATTTTGCTACTGTTATGAATCGTAATGTAAATATCTGATATGCAGGATGGATTTTCATTCTCTGGACCAAATTTGGCCCAAATACCCGATACACCCAAATTGATTTTGTCATTTGGGAGTTGTAGTTGCTGGGATTTATAGTTCACCTACAATCAAAGAGTATTCTGAAGTTCACCAACAATGGAATTGAACCAAACTTGGCACAAAGAACTCCCATGACCAAGAGGAAATGCTGGGAGGGTGTGGTCGACATTGACCTTGAATTTTTGGAGTTGTAGTTCACCTACATCCAGAGAGTACTGTGGATTCAAACAATGATGGATCTGGACTAAACTTGGCACAAATACTCAATATTCCCAAATGTGAACACTGGTGGAGTTTGGGGAAAATAGACCACAGCATTTGGGAGTTGTAGTTGCTGGGATTTATAGTTCACCCACAATGAAATAGCATTCTGAACCTCACCAACGATAGAATTGGAACAAACTTCCCACACAGAACCCCCATGACCAACAGAAAATACTATGCTTTCTTAGGGTCTTTGGCGACCCCTCTGACACCCCTCGCGACCCTCAGAGGGGTCCCGACCCCCAGGTTGAGAAACACTGCCTTAAAGGGTTGTATTCAGAATCCTCACCCAGAGAACTTTATCTCCTCACCAAACTACAAATCCCAAGACTTCCTTGGCCGTGAAAGTATTATCCTTGCGTCCAGAATTTGCTGACAGGAGTTGCTGCCCAAAATCCCCTCGACGACTTACAACGAGGGCCAGTTATGCTGTTTCAATTACTTCGGATTCAGTTAATCCGAATTAGAGCAGCGTCTACATACAACTTTCATAACGGACACACATCACAGGGTGGAGAATAAGAAAACAAAATTGAGAAAATAAAATATTCACCCTGAGAGCCAAAGCAGTGCCAGGAACGCTGCTGTTGAAAGAACCCCATGCCCGCCACAAACGCCTGGGCGCCGCCATGTTGGGAAGGTCTCGTTTTCCCCCTTGCGCAGGCGCAAAAGCGCTCTCAAGCCCTCTCTAGCCACCATCTTGGGAAGGAAGCAAGCAAGCGACAGGGGAATAACACGCATGCGCACATGTCCCTTTCCTCGTTCCTGTTCAGGTTCTTTCTAGTCGGCGAGCAAGAGCGGGGAGGGAGAGAGAACCGCTGATTGGTTTTCGTAACCCCTCTGACGTCATCGGATCTCACTTGCTGGAAAGGACAACTTAAGGGGGAGAGTGTGCGTGGTGTAGTGGTTAGTACGTTTGACTGTGATGATGGAGAATTGAGTTCGATTCCCAATAGGTTACTTTGGGAAATCATTTTTTTTCAATCTCAGAAGTAAGGCAAATGAGAACTTAAGCAAACGTAGGAAAGAAAGCCAAGTGACAGGTTTTTTTCTCAATCCTGGAAGGTGTCAAATGTTTAGCCTCCTTTGACACAGAAGACTAAAGACCATGCAAAACTATAACTCCCAGAATTACATAGCAGTCAAAGTGGTGTTGAACTGCAGGGTGTCTGCGCCCCACACCACTGGAGAAATTACACTGCTTAGCCGGTATTGCACCACCTGACATCCGCCGGGAAGTAGCAGCCAATAGTGAAAGGACCAAGGCAGAGACATCTCCAGCTCATCCCCTGTTTGGGTATCAGCCAGCACGTCAACGACTTAAATCAAGACATAGTTTTCTTAGATCTACAGAGACACTAGCTGGAACACCCCAGCAAGCAAGAGTCCAAAAGTGGCAGGCCCAAACCCAGCACCTCAATCTGTGGGTGATACCAGATGAAAGACTCCCCCTGGGCACACAGAGGACTGGGCGACCTGGAAGGCGTTGAACAGACTGCGCTCTGGCACCACGAGATGCAGAGCCAATCTTAAGAAATGGGGCTACAGGGTGGAATCCTCGGCATGCGAGTGTGGAGAAGAGCAAACCACTGACCACCTGCTGCTATGCACCCTGAGCCCTGCCACATGCACCATGGAGGACCTTCTTGCGGCAACCCCAGAGGCACTCCAAGTGGCCAGATACTGGTCAAAGGATATTTAACCAAATACCAAATTTGCAAAATCTGTGTGGGGTTCCCCCCCCCTTTTTTTTTCTTTTTCTTTTTAATCTCTGTGTTTGTTTTGCTCTGTTAGAATTGTAATATAATGGTTGCTCATGACACGATAAATAAATAAAATAAATACTGCATTCATTCTACAGTGTAGATGCACCCCCTAATAATTTACACTGCAGACTACTTTAGTAACACAGCCAAACGACACTGGGATCAATTATATTTATTTGTGTTGAAGACCTTATAAGTATCCTAAATTATACAAAACAGCCATTAAATTTTCATAAAGTGATACTCTGCTACAACTATGTGCAATAAACTCTCAGTTAACCATCACCCATTGGGATTGATAAATGCCAGATAAACATCATTTCTGGTTGCTTGAGAGTTACTGTTAAAAATAGGCCTAACTAATACTATGCTACTGCGTATTGAAACTATAAACATCCTAAATTGTACAAAACAACCATGACATTGGGTTGTTGTAGGTTTTTTCGGGCTATGTTTTTCGGGCTACCGTCACCAACTGGGATTGGTAGATGCTGGATAAGCATAGTTCCTGGTTGCTTGAGAGTTACTGTTAAAATAGGCCTAACTAATACTATGCTACTATGTGTTGAAAACTTTATAAGTATCCTAAATTGTATAAAACAGCCATGACATTTGCATACAGTGATACTCTACAACTATGTGCAATAGACTCTCAGTTAACCATCACCCATTGGGATTGATAAATGCCGGATAAACGTCATTTCTGGTTGCTTGAGAGTTACTGTTAAAAGTAGGCCTAACTAATACTATGCTACTGCGTATTGAAACTTTATAAAAATCCTAAATTGTACAAAACAGCCATGACATTTGCATACAGTGATACTCTACAACTATGTGCAATAGACTCTCAGTTAACCATCACCCATTGGGATTGGTAGATGCCGGATGAACAGTTTCTGTTTGGTTGTAAGTTACTGGCCTAACTAATACTATGCTACATACTATACCATAAACTCTATTGACTTGATATTAATATTGAAACACAGTAATTAAAAGAAAATAAAGACAAACTTAATGTAACACTATTTTACTGTATTATAGAAACATTTTTTTAAAAAAAATCTAAAATATTATTTATTCAATTTTTTGCCAGTTGCTTGAAAGTTCTGGTTGGTTGCTTGAGACTTCAATGAATTTAGTCCACTGTAAACACCTTGAGTCCTTCAGGTGTTTTGAACTCTAACTTCCACAATTCCTAGGGATTATGGGAGGAATTGTTAGGAATTGTGGAAGTTGAAGTCCAAAACACCTGGAGGGCCCAAGTTTGCCCATGCCTGGTCTGCTGTATAAAAAGCATTTTGGGTTAGGAAGATTCAAAGTCAGTGGGGTTCTGTTGTCCTAACTCTAACCCTAATCATGGACATTTCAGAGATATATAAACCCCATTTTCCTAGTTTCCAACAGACCTCACAACCTCTGAGGATGTCTGCCATAGATGCAGGTGAAATGTCAGGAGAGAATGCTTCTGGAACATGGCCATACAGCCTGAAAAACTTACAACAACACAGAAATATCTGTTTGCAAGGAGTTTGTCCATTATTTTATGCTGTTGTTGGAAACAGGAGACATACAAGAAGCTACATAAAATTGGTCTCTTCAAACCGGATCGGCCATCCTGATGCATCGCAGCCAATGTGAATGTGTCTTTGGCCTGTGTGGGACCAGTAGCGGCATTGGCCCCGCAACGTCCCCTGAAGCTTGCAGGTGGTGACATGGAGAGGCTCCCTGCTAATCCTCAAGGCCCGGCGGTAATGGGTTCCAGCCCAGCCACAGATATCCTTTAGCTGGTTCTTTGACACATGAACAAAACTGTTGGTGTCTTTGCAAGGCCTCGCCATCCCACGGCGAAGCATCATGGTCCCACAATAGTCTTGCCCGGCCATGTTGCTGCGAGGGTAGTCGTGGTGCTGCCTCCAGAATTTCTCGTGCCGAGGGTTTTGGGAGGAGCCCCCACTGGCGATCACGCAGGCGAGAACCAGGATGAGCATCAGCGTCTCAGCTCTTTCCAGAGGGAGCATCATGGCTGGATTCAGAAAAGGGAAAGTGGGTTACAGCAGATTGGTATAGGTAGGCATGGACAAACTTCCTAACAACAACAACAACAACAACAACACTTTATTTATATTCCGCCCTTCTCACCCCAAAGGGGACTCAGGGTGGATCACATTCAATGCTGCTTTGTATAGACAATACACAGACAGACAGAACAAAAGGAGGTGGTTTGTTTCAGCTGTTTTTGGTGCCATGGAAGGTTGGGCTTGAGTCCAGGGGGAACTGTTGCTCCATCCTCTATGATGAAGAGCTGTCAGGACTTCCTCCTTCCTTTTGGTCACCCAGCATTTTCTGATCTTTCTTTATCACGTTGTAAAACACCTTTCCTGCATTTAGCAGTACCTAATTTCACTAATCACAGCTAAAGCTGTTTTTGAATTGCTTAGGTAAACAATGAGCTAGGATGACAGTTGGCAGCTCATGCCAACCCGGGGCTTCAAACTTGCAACTTTTTGGTTGATAGATCTTATAATTGCTGACGATTTACCAGCAGCCCTAACCCAAAATACTTTTTATACAGTAGACCAGGCATGGGCAAACTTTGGTCCTCCAGGTGTTTTGGACTTCAGCTTTCACAATTCCCAACAATTCCTCCCACAATTTCTAGGAATTGTGAGAGTTGAAGTCCAAAACACCTGAAGGGTCAAAGCTTGCCCATGCCTGCAGTAGACTCTAATTTCATTGGAACTCTCAAGCAACCAGAACTCTCTTTGGCCTGGAGGGCCAACGTTTGCCCATATCTGGTGTAGGCTCTGCTTTATCAAATGCAGTGTCTTATGACCTGCAAGGAACCTGGCCAAACCCTGTTTTGTTTGTGCTTCCTTAGGAAAAATCAGGAAATACCTCCAAGGCCTCAGTGTTCCATCTGATAGAACACATATAGAAATGAAAGGTAAAAACTAATTGGAACTATAGCTGGGATGCAATCTGACACATGGATCGACTTTCAATATAGTGTGAGAAGCCTCTGGCCCAGATGCAACTTTGGAAGTTGCTGCTGGAAAATATTATAAGTCAATCCTTCACATTCACTGGTGTTAGAACAGGCATGGGCAAACTTTGGCTCTCCAGGTGTTTTGGACTTCAACTCCCACAATTCCTAACAGCCCACTAAAGGACCTAGAGATTCTGAATGAAGACAATTTTACTCAAACTTGTGAATAACCAGATCTGAGGACCAAGCTAGTATCTCACTGCTGCCTTTGAAGTGATGGCTATGGCACTTCTGCTTGTCCAGTTACAAGGCAGAAGCAGGTTTTTGGCAGGGTCCCCAGAAGTGCTGTTGCATGAACAATGCACATTTTTATTTTCTTCAGCTTCTGCTTTGAATTTGCAATGTGATCCTGAGTCCATGGATGTGGCAGGTCCATTGTAACCATGATGAATGGTGTGTTCTTATAAGGGGTGAGTTCACTTGGGGGTTCAGTCTGGAGCTGCCCATGATGCTGGATGTATATGTTTGAAACAAAGACCAGATCCTGGATTGCTCCTTTTAAATTAGATTGTAAATGTATCACCTTCCTGATCCAAAAACTATGAATGAAATGGTCAGGCAACAATTTACACCTGGGTGCAGAAGAACTTACTCTCTGAAAGTTGATGTGCGTCTAATCTTTGCTTTAACCAACATAGGTTGTGTTGAGAAATCAATCTCCATGCAGATAAACACCTCATAAGTTCATAAGAAGTGCTGTGCTAAAGGCCTAACTGATCCACCAGTGTTTTGATACGGCTGATGGGCTAATCAATAAAACGTACTAACTGATCCACCATTCTGTTCACAAAGTGGCTATTCAGTTATTTTTGGAAGCCTACCAGAAGGTATCAATCATACCCACCAATCCTGTTGGAGCCCTCGTGGCGCAATAGGTTAAACCCTTGTGCTGGCAGGTCTGTTGACTGAAAGGTCAGTGGTATGAATCCAGGGAGCGGAGTGAGCTCCCATCTGTCAGGTCCATCTTCCCATGCGGGGACATTAGAGAAGCCTCCCACAGGATGGTAAAACATCCGGAGAACCCTGGACAACGTGCTTGCAGAGGGCCAATTCTCACACCAGAAACAACCTGCAGTTTCTCAAGTCACTCCTAACACACACACACACACACACACACACATAACAAAACCAATCCTGCTCACTCATTTGGTGTTTGCAATTGATATATAGAAATATGCTACCTCTCATCTCAGAGGAATACATAGGTATCTTCTCTGCATGCATTTGGTGGTTCCATCCTCCACAAATTTATCCAACCCTATTTTAAAGCTGCTGTCTTAAAAACTATGTTAAAGTTTATCTGATGGGTTTTCAGTGAAGCAAGGAAAGAGATTCCTATGCCTTGTAGTTGGCACTAGATGGCAACAGAGAACAAGAATTGGAAAGCAAGAAAGCCGGAAAAACAGAGTGATATTCTTGGATTTATGTAAAAATGTGGTCATTAGCCTCCTCTGCCCCAAATGTTTTAAGTGTTCAATCTAAGAAGGATTTAATTAGGCTAATAGTGAAGAGGGACAGTCCACAAATACTGAAATGTTCTCTTTTATACTGCTCTGGAAAAAATGGAATCCTTCTTTGCATTTGTTGTTGTGTGCCTTCAAGTTGTTTTGGACGTAGGGCAACTCTAAGGTGAATCTATCATGAGTTTCCTGGGGCTGAGACTGTGTGATGTCCCTAAGTCACAAGTGGATTTCCACGACCAAGCAGGGAATTCAGCTCTGCGACTGCACTATAGACTGAATGCAGTTGGTCACACTTTCAACTGCCATGGCTCAATGTTATGGAAATATGGGAGTTGAAGTTTTAAAAGGACTTTTAGCCTTCTTTACCAAAGAGTGCTGATGCCTTACCAAACTACCATTCCCATGATTCCATAGCATTGAGCCATGATAGTGGTATCAAACTGCATCATTTCTACAGTGTAGATTCACCACTGGTTTCTAGAGTGTTGGGGCCCTTCCACACAGCCATATAACCCAGAGTCGACACTGCCATATAAAGCAGTTCAATGTGGATTTTATACAGCTGTGTGGAAGGGGCCTTAGTCCAGTGCTCAAACTACTGTACCATACGCTCCCTCCTTTGCACAAGGCTGCCTTAAGGAATTCACTTTTGTCAACTCCCTTCCAGAAAGAAAGCTAGTAATAACAGAATACCATTTCCAGTGAAATCCTCATAGAAGGTGAATTCAATGCCAAACACTAGGAAATATGTGGTGGGTGGGTGCACACAATGATATGCACACATAAAAATGCTCACTCATTGAGTACTTGAGCAAATATTACTTAGACATAGATAAGTAGGTTGACGTGTGAAGCTACAGCCCTAGAACATAAGAAGAATAGAGGTAGAAAAGCAAGTGAGCATGGGCAGGTCCAAAAGAACTTTTATTCTTCTTTTTCAAAACCCCATAGTGTTTACATCAAATCATTCTCAAATTGGGGTATTTCACTTTCCCCAAAATACAACAGCATCACAGATGAGATCTGGGATTCTGGAGTGACATCATGCTTGTCAGGTGCAGCATGGGGTACCCTTCAGCAACCTGTTGCTCCCCAGATGGTCAAGATTATATTCATACTTTTATGTAGTTTTCTAAATATTTATATCCCATATTAGTCCACACTAAAGTAAAAAGACTGATTAAAAGGGTTAAAAGGGTTTAAATTGAATTAAAACCATGAACATGCAGTAGTAAAACCAATTAGGCCTGGAAAGCTTTCAGAAATGACCGTATTTTCACTACACTCTGCCATCATTTCTAATCATTATTTTCATTAGTAGGAGCCACAGTGGCGCAATATTTGGCCCGGCCCTTAGTTTTTTAAATGTGTCATGATGTTTATTGTTTAATGTTTACTGTTATTGCTTTAATGTTTATTGGTTTGCCTTTTTGAGTTTTATTGTTGTTTTTGAGTTTTATTGTTGTTTTTGTTATGCTGTTGTTTTAATGAGGGCCTTGGCCTTTGCCTTTGTAAGCTGCACCGAGTCCTTCAGGAGATGTTAGCGGGGTACAAATAAAGTTAATAATAATAATAATAATGGTTTAAACCCTTGTGCCTGAAGGTTGGGTTGCTGACTGGAAGGTTGCTGGTTCAAATCCCCAAGATGGGGTGAGCTCCTGTCTGTCAGCTCTAGCTTGTGGGGACATGAGAGAAGCCTCCCAGCAGGATAGTAACACATCCAGGTGTCCCTTGGGCAAAGTCTCTGTAGACAGCCAATTCTCTCACACCGGCAGCAACTTGCAGTATGTTTTCAAGTCACCTCTGACACAATATTTTTTTTTAAAAAAAATAGGGTTAGTATTCATTTATATCCCACCCTTCTTGTATAGGACATAAGATGGCTTATTCCTGATTAAAAAGGGGCACTGCTAAAAAAACTATTAGTATAAAAGATGGAAAAAATCCCACAATTGTTCTACATATGTGGTGAAAGCACAAAGTTAAAGCAACATAGAATACAATTAAAACACACAGTACAAACCTTGGAAATAGGAAACCACAGGCAATAACTTCTGGTGGAAGCATACCATAGAATTGCCCTGGAGGAACTAGAAAATACCTAGAAAGAATACCTCTCTCACATTTCTAGATCCTCCAGTACAGGCCCGTAGCCAGGATTTCGTTTCGGGGGGGGGGGGGGCTAAATTTTTTTCAGGGGGGGTTTTTGGGGTTTTTTTTGGGGGGGGGGGGCTGAGTCTGAGTGAAAGAGGGTCTACCTTAGCAAACCTTTTGTATCATTACCCCAATACCCCCATGCATATGGGATATATTGAGTATGGTGATCAGATCATGATATGAATAAACATAACAGTTTAAATAATGCACCAGTAAGGCCTTTCGCGAACCACCATGAGAATTTCGGGGGGGGGCTGAAGCCCCTCAAGCCCCCCCCCCCCCGGCTACATGCCTGCTCCAGTACAACTGTATGGTCTCTTTCTGGCAGAAACATACCATAAAATTGGGACACGTT